CAACATTTGTTGTGTACAGTAGTCAGTACTCCCCGAGGGTGGCATGAGGCTTTCAGCTTCATATTGCAATTTCAATGGATTGTTGTTTTGGAATGTTTCAACTTTATTCGAATCATGTAAACATGGTTGTTTGGGACTTGTGGCTTCGTCCACTTCCTCAATAGACTCGATACGTTGCCTTTTTTTGCTCTTTTTAAACATGATGGTGAATTGGCTGTTTTTAAATCACATTTGCATTTTGGTCACTTTCAATATTCACTCTGTTTTTATCATACATCCAAATATGGTAAAATTAGTACGAAAAAATCAATTAGAAACTGATGTTGCACTGTTATAATCACTGAGCTCTGTACGTGTGTTTACGTTCTCTGACTTTTGCTGCAGCCGGCATCTAACACCGAACACGTGCTAACTGCTAAGCAGTGCGACCACATGTGCGGCGCGCGCAGCTATCAGAAATATGTCCATTTCTTTGATTTTGAAAAAAGCATAGAGGTAAAAATTATTAAACGGCCACGAATTACGCGAAAACCACGTTTTCTAACTCGCTAGTTAGTTTAATTCGCTAGTTTTATATTTATTACGCGTGTTTGAAGGTTTGTGTTCAAATTCAAGAAATCGCATAAACATTTTGCGACTTTTAATTTTTTTTGTTAAGAAACAAAAGTATTGCGGAATTCCTCATTTTTTTGTAATACTGTATTTCATCAAGTTTCATAATACTGGCTGACATGTCCACGATGGAAAATAGTGCATAATTAGTTTGTTGAACAGTTAATTTTTGTACGGAGTTCTTTCTTAGTATTGGAAATACCTTGAAATACTTACTAAATCTACTTTTCGATTTTTTTAAACTTTTAAGTGAAATTTGTAAGTTAATTTTTTTTTGGAAAAAAATTGACAAAATCGGATGATCTTCCGTGGAATCGATTTTATTTACTGGCTATTGAGTAATGTTTAAAGATAATTTGAGTACGATATTAGACCAACACAAAAATTTGAATTAAACATTAGAGTAGAATATTGTTTTAATTATTTTCCAAATATTCGTTCACATTATGCTAATTGATTCATTTTTAATATACAGTGACTCAGCAGGATCGATATAAATTTTTTCTAAATATTATCTTATGGTTTCCGAATAATCGTTTTCTTTCAAAAACTTTCCTTATCGAAAAAAAAATTAGCCTATAAACAACCGTCTCATCTTTAGATATTTTTTGTTCTGGAAAATCACACAGTTTATTAAATTCTTCATTTTCCCTTGCTTACGAGATATATTTAACACAAACGATCAGCAATATGATATTATTTGTTTAGTTGATGTTTTTAGGTCATGCAACTGATAAACTAATATATGGTACAAAGATTAAATAAAATACTAGGATTGAGCGTCATTGTACAATTGAGTCTTTTAATTAGTTGCAACTAGTAAGGTTTTATTACATTAAATTTCAAAAAAAAATAAAATTTATTGTTTCTCTCGTTAATTCGTACAAAACCTGCGGTCCCTTTACATAAGAGTTATCGAGGTCCAATTATATACATTTATGAGTTAATTACAAAAATATGTAAACTTATTTACATTACATTCTGCGTATTTTACTATTACATTTAATGTTTTATTCTGCCTCTATATTTAATACACATTCATCATTTACCACTACGTCAATTTTCACTCCATTTTCATCATAATATAATTCGTATGCACTTTTGAAGTTGTCCACTAATTTATTTCCATTTTTAATATTTAAATCTCGAACAAACGACCCAATGTCGACTTTGTTTTGGGTCAAAACTTCAGTATACTTCGTCATTTGTCCTTGTTCATCAAAGAAAAGATAATACAGCTTCATAAAGTTCCTAGCAGCATTCAGCCCAGATTTCCTAAGCAGTGATATTATATCGGGTACAGTGAAACCAATTCCTAGTAAAGATTTCAGGTAGACTGATTCTGTTGGCTTAGATACGCTTTTGAACATACATTTAAATAGATCAAAAAATTGCCTCATGAGTATTTTTGAAGCACCAATAAAAAGTCCGTGAAGAGTAACAAAATCTACGCCGTAATTTTCCAACGTTAACAAATAGTTTTTTTTGCTACCATCTGGCTTAAACCACAAATTAAATAAAATTTTTAAAAAAGTTATGATATACCCTCGAGTACCACGAATAATCCTACAGACACCTTTGATTATGGCTGGGTTGTTAAGATAATTTGTTATGAATAAGCTTGGGTTACCCTCGCGATCAAAAAATAATTTGTTCAATGAGTTGCAGAAACTATTAGCGAATCCACTACTTCCTTTTAGTATGTCGCAAAGTAAGTCAATATCAAAGTTATTTTTTTCCATTGTTTGCAATAAATGAGTTTTTTCGCCATTTTCATCGAACCAACAATAATACAACTTTAAAAAATGTTTTGGAAAATGGTTTCCTCCGTCTGTGAAGATACTTTTCAATTTTTTCAAATTTATGAATTTTAGTATATTTTGTAAGATGGTACTGGCACTGCCTTCTTCGGTGATGAATATCTCATGTATTTCTTTGAATGTTTTACATGCATAAATACCTGCTTTTTTTAAAATGTGACACAGCCAAACTAAAGTGATTCCATTTTTTTCTAAATCTTGTAAATATTGAGTTTCTTTTAAATCTTCGTCGAACCATAAATCAAACAACATTTTGGAGTATAACGGGATAGTTGAGCCAACACCACAAAAAATACTGCTCACGTCGAAGAGAGATACATTTTTCTCATCGAGTGCTTTTAATATTGGACTATCTTGCTCAGTTTTTTCAAAAAAGATATCGTGAAATTCCTGCACTCCGTTACATCGGGTGCTAGCAAAAATGATTGATAGCAATTCGAGATCAACTCCTCTGTTTTCGAAATTGTACAGAAGTTTAGTTTTATTCCCTTCCTTATCAAAAAATGTGTAAAAAACTTTAGTTATTGATCTTGTATGATCGATAGTGGCACCTTGGATAAAATTTAAAAATGTATCAATGCTTATTTCATATTTATTTAAGGTGTTTAGATGAAACGATGCAGTACCATTTTCATCAATCAAAAATTCATATAAAGCTCGAAAAAAACTAGCTCCTCCACGACGAGTATTTCTTAAAACATTCATAACTTTGAGAAGGTCTACATTGTTATTTTCTAAATGTTGCAAAAAGTAACTTTTATTACCATTTTCATCAAACCATAAGTTGGAAAGATCAGTCAAAAGGTTCACCGCATGAACATTTGAATTTCGTATCATTTTCGCCAGCTGATTGACACTGATGCCATAATTCTCGAAAGTTTTCAAAAAGTTTTTTTTTTGTCCTTCCTCGTCAAATAGGAAATTATATAAATCTTTGAAAATTTTGGATGCCTTGGTTGGTAATCCCCACAAAATCTTACAAATGTCATCGATATTAATATTGTGGTTTTCAAAAGTTTTCAAATATTTGGTTTTATTGCCATCTTCATCAAAAAAAAGATTGCATATTTCATCTAATACTGTTACAATACAACTTCTAGAACCATGTAACACTCTTGAAATGGCATTGAATTGGACTCCTGCATTATTCAGATTTTGCAGATTTTGAGTCGGATTGCCATCTACATCAAATAAATTATAATACAACTTTTTATATAAACTAACTGCTTGAGCTTTAGAAGCATGTAGAGTTTGTATAAAGTGGTAAAAATCAATTTTATGATTTTCCAAAGTTAAGAGATACTTAGTCTTATTTCCTTCTTCATCAAACCACAAATCATGTAAATCTTTGAATGTTTGTGCACATCTTATTCCAGCACTATGTAAAATATTAGCTATTCTAGAAATAGACAATTTATTTTTTTGAAAATTTGTTATATACTTTGTTTTGTTATCATGTTCATCAAACCATAAATTATATAAATTTTCATGTGCCAATCGAGCATCACCAGTTGCTCCTGAAATAAGAGCTCCCAATGTAGAAAAAGTTATTCCTTCCCTTTCTAAAGAGCACAAATACTTAGTTTTATTATCATATTGGTCAAACCATAAATCATATAAACTGTTGAGGGTACTAACTGCTCTCATATTGGTTATTTGAACTATACTGAAAACTGTTTTAATGTTCAAATGATTTTTTTCCAAGATTAAAAAATTTTTGGTTTTGTTTCCTTTTTCGTCAAACCAAAAATCGTGAAAAGCTTCAAGAGCATGATATAGGTATTTTTTAGTGACACTATTCATAACATTGGCAACACTTCTTAAATCAATTCCTGCATTTTTGAAATTATGGATAAACAATTTTCCTTTGCCATTAATAAAAAAATCAAATACTTCATTTGTTTGAGAAGGTGTTGTACGACAAAGAGACTTGGTCAATTTCCATTCATCTGCAACATCAGAGCATTTTAAGTATTTGCCACATTTTCTATTATTTGATATATCATTTAAAAGCAATCTCATGGTTCTTAATGTCATTATTTGATGCTTCTGAAATTCTAGCCATATTAAAGTCACTTCTTGTAACTGGTCAAGAGTGTAAGGAAGCTGCTGCTGTTCGTTTTGGAGGAGAATATCTGTATCTGTAATCTTTGCTTGTCCTGTAGCAATAATAAGAGTATGCAAAAATAACAATTTGATACTTTTTTCTTTTTCTTCATCTATCTCTTGTTCATTACTATTGGAGTAATTTAGCAATTCTAAAAGAGTACCATAGTCTTCAGATGCAAACTCAAATAACATTGATTTATTCAAAGCAGTGCAATTATGAAATATTTTGTACCTTCTTTTAGTTACATCTACATTGATCAATTTGAATGGATCATCATCAGTAAAATTTAACTCTGAATAAGTGTAAATAACAAAAAATTTAATGTTTGAATTTTTTCTGTACTCAATACGGAAAAAATTGTATAAATCATTAATTGAAAACTTGCTATTTTTATTTTGTGAAAAAAAATCATCATAGCTTATACTTACATTATCAGCAGAACCTAAATTTATTAGATAGGTAATTTTACTTTTGTACAATATGTTAATGACATTGTTTGTGTGATAACTTTTTGTCTTAACTGCTGATATATTCTTATGAACAAACATATCATTTAATACAGACATTACTAAATTTAAATTTTCATTGCTGATATTCTTTTTAGCTATAGATGTATATTTTATCAATTTGTTTTGTAACTTCATGTAATCTTTTCCATTCCATTCAATTTCATCTTTTAATTTGTTTTTCAAACTTTCTCTGCAAGGTTGATTATCTAGAAATATAATCTTACTTAGGAAGCTTTTTTTCAAGTCTACTTCAAACTCTGAAGTTAAACATTTCTTATTAAATGTCTTTTTATTTGTACTTGACAACATCAAGCGCTGACAGAACTCATCAATCGTTTGATCATCTGTTGCAAATTTATAAAATTTACATGAAGTGTTTGTTACTAACATATCTTGAAGCACCGGAATTTGGCATATATCCATACTTTCAAATTGAAATGGGTAAGAATTTTTCGAACTGCACATGGTCAACTTATTGTCCTCAGATAATTCCAGTTTGTCGTTACAAAATACGACGAGATACTTAATTTTCGAAGTTTGGTACTTTGGCTTATTGAGCTCATAACTGACCCAACTATTGAAATAATTTTTCAGAGAATACGGACTTTTTATCCCAAACAAATCGAGATATGTGATAAACTTGTCGGAAAATAGACTTACGGTGTAGTTTACGTTCACGTGAATGGACTCGTCATTCTGCCTAATAACTATATCGGAAAACTTGTCAACATCTTTGTTGTCTAATGTCAATCCAACTCCATCCAACTTTTTATTTTCGACTCGTCTCTTCAGGTAACACCAAATCGAGACGTCAAGTTTGTACATATGCAGCAATATTTTTTCTGCACTGTAGTCAATACTCGCCGAGGGTGGCATGAGGCTTTCAGCTTCATACTGCAATTTTAGTGGATTGTCGTTTTGGAATGTTTCAACTTCATTTGCATCATCTAAGCAAGATTGTTTGGGACTGGTCGCTTCATCCACCTCAACATAATCGATACGTTGCCTTTTTCTGTTTTTTTTGGACATGATTTTTACTTCTACACTTTCAACGTTCACTCTACTATTATCACAAACCTAATATGGTAAGTTTCGTAAGAAACATTCAATGAGGAACTGCTGTTGCACCTATATATTCACTACACTGTTTTTGTATGTTTACACCGCACTGTTTTACTTCTGCTGCAGCCGGCAACTAACATGTGCTCAGCGATACGAGCACGTGTGCGGACTGTGGAGCCGCCAGCTGGTCGTGGATACATATATTGCCGAGTTAATTGAAGACGGCGCCACTTGTTTTTCACTTTTTTTATGACATTTGTCATTTCATTTTAATAAGAGTTAAATGTGATAAAAACTTTGTACTACTTACTACAATGGTATACCAATCGGCTACTTCGAATATTTCACACTGGAGAGGCTTCCAATTGCAATTATACAGTTTATAATATTGTGGTAGATAATAAAATACTCAGATATTTTTTAATTTGATTTTCTTAAAAGTGGAGAAATATAAATTACTTTTTCATGTATATTTAACAAATAATGATTTTGTTCAATGTGTAGTTTTTGCATTTAATTTCAAGATTGATTTTTACTCTTGATTTGAGAATTATAAGTGCAATAGCGATTGACGAGTCGTTATGCTTCAAAATTTTAATTTGTATTTTGATTGAGTATGACATATTATACAACTTTTTTAAATGATGCATTGATCTTTGTTAATATTTATAGGAGAAGATTAATCTTGTGAAAAGTTTGAATGAATTTATATAGTGTAAGCTTTATTAGAAACTTTTCAATAAATATTATAATCTTATGACAATTTATTTATACATATAATTCTTAATACAAATATTTATTTTTGAATTACCTTTTCAATACAACAAAAAACTATAAGTTTAAATAATGATATTTATCCAACAAAATTAATTTTTAATTCTTGAATTGATTTAAAAAAAAAATTAAATCTAGTAAGAAAGGAGTTACTAGTCACGACATATAAAACATTATTTATTTAATGCAAATACTTTTTTGATACTAATCATAATCAATGATTACGTTTCTTCTGCCCAAGCTCCGGGAAATTGGCTTGATTCAAAGCAACATTTGGTTGATGATAGCCAGCACTTCTAGTGTATGGAGTTCGAAGTGGTCTTTCAACAGGTTCTTGAGTTTTTAACTTTTCATTGATATCATTTCTAGTGTGCATGATAATAGAGATTTCTTTTTCATCATCCAGTTTGTTATTTTTCTCAGCTATACGTTGTTTTACTTTTAAGCTAATGTCTGACATCGAAGAAGTTGCTCTCTTACTATCGTTCATGGTCAAATTCTTCATTGAAGAATTTAAAATGCTCGTTTCAATAGGTACTTTAGGTGGAGCATGAACACCTTGAATCGGAACGACATTCAGATTTTGACAAACAAAATCACAAATCAAAAAGAACCATCTTTTTACAAATGATTGACTACAAAATGGCATTCCACCCTTAAGAGCAGTATGATAATCACATTGAATTCCGTAAACGTAACAGTAAGGATCTTTTGATAATTCAATTTGAGCATGTAGCGGTTCAAAAGTAGTTGCTACATGATCAAGACTGGCATTGTATATACTTGCAAAAAGATCTTCTAGGGAATAAATGCGAATTAAATCAGTAGGTTCACCTGCAGCTTCAGCCAACTGATCCATAATAGAAGTTACAGAAGAACAAATTTCCAGTTTCTGGCGTAGAGTAAACAGTGGAGGCAATCTGGTGCCTTCCTTACCAGGCATGATGAATTTGCAAATATCTTCGTACATTTCTTTGAAGGTCTTATCTCCAAAGTGGGCAGCTACAGGGATGTTGTGAGTACTGTCGCTGTGAGTACGAGCTTCGGCACTGTATCCAATCTTGATTTTGGGGGTGACGTGTTGCAAATAAACACGCCTTATGCCCTCTTGGATGTTGCACTCGATGATGCAAATCTCGGCTGGGCAAAATTCAGTCTCTTTGCGCTCCGGAACGATTCTCTTGTAGTAATAATTGCAATGGATAACGTAGAACGTCATGTATTGCAGCCGGTTCTCCTGTCTAGAGGTGATTACCTTGTTTGTTATGTATTCGCGCATGTCATCGGCGAACTGCTTCTCGCGCATTCTCTCCCTCTCGAGTTCGGACAGATCCTCGCCGAGGCCGGTCCTCTTCTTCTGGTTGGGCTTGGCGGTCTTCTCCATGGCCTTGTACTTGGCCTTCTCGTGCTCGCTCATGTGCTTCCACTTGTCGCTGATCTCGGGATCTTTGCACGCGTCCTTGATGTCCATCTTGCTGCCGGATTTTTTTAGCATCTCGAGCACGAAGTAGAAGAAGGCGTTCTTTTTATTGTTGGCCGGCATCTTGGCTTGGACGAGTTCTTTGTTTGTCGCGCTGAACGATGTGGGGCTTCTTCAGGCCTAATCGTTATCCTTTTCACCTTTGACAGACAATTGAAAACAACAACGATTATCACTCGTGTGTGTGTGTGCGGTTAACGCGACAAGAAAATTTTAACTCGTTCAAACTAAAGAGCAGAATCAAAATGGCCAAAGATCGTAACGTTTCACTGAGGCAGGGATATAACTAACTTTGCGAGAGTTTTGACTTATCCACAGCTGCGTATCGCGCGAGAACGTAAACGTGAGTGTTCAGTGTGAGCTAGCGGTAACCGAACCGACAACAAAGTTCGTTGTAATTTGAAACACTCGCTGCTGCGTGCTCCCCACCAACGGCCACACGACAGCTCCTTTGTTCTCAACTTCTGCACGAGGCACGAGGGGTCTAAAATTCGCGCGAAAAACGCGTCGAAGTTCACTCTGTGACCGTTTGGAGGAGATTTTGAATTCAACACAATGCGTACGATAATAATCGACTTTTTTAATCAGGTTCAATAACCTCGCGAGGCGGTTCGAAATTACGTTCGAAACGGTCGTCGCGAACGCGTGTTTTACAAACAACTTTCGAAAATATTTACAACGATCGTTCGGCAACGAGGAAGTCGCGTATACAACTGCGGATGCGAGCAGCTCGAATAATTCGAGGGAAAAAATTTGTATCGCGATGTTTGATGAATTTCGCATGCAGTACCGCGAGTGCGATGATCGGATGCGTCGTTACAGCCGAATCATTATCCATCGAACGTCGTTCGACAAAACTCGAAAGAAAAATTAAAAAAACAAAATTGACATACCTATGTCGTCGCGTCAACGATGCGTGCTAGCTTTCTACTGACGTTGGTTCGTATACTCAATTATGAAGATGTCCTCGTTACGGTGTTCTCTTACGCGTGTGCGTGTGTATTACAGCTGCTGTCGAGTGCGATAACGAAGCTATCGTGCGACGCCTACTCGAGACCACCGCAACTACCAAACGTCAAACCTCGATTGTCGCAGCGATTCGTGGAGCTCTACGACAAAATACCCCAAATGTAAGCTGATCCTAATACATGCCAATGACACGAAATTTATAGTTGCGTATCGATAGTCTAGTTTTGTTAAAAATTTTTAACCCAGCAAAGAGTACAATCGCTACATCGACAATTATGGAGCGATCGATCTGGGCCGCGGCAGGCCGGATTTTTTGCCGCCGACTTTCGTCCAGCGCGCGCTGATCAACGCGACGAGCAGCCTCGACGCTCCGATCCATCAGAGCTCGCCGAGTCACGTAATGAATCGAATACATTATATAGCCACACATTCGCATGATTATATTATTTTATAATATGGAAAAAAAAATGGTTTGTCGATCGACGCGAGCTGCAGGGCGAGAAGGTGCTGCGAGTCGCCCTGGCCGAACTGTACAGCGAGCTGCTGCACCGCAACCTGAGCGCCGAGCGCAACGTCCTTGTGACCTCGAGCGCAGTCGACGCGCTGCGTTTGGCCCTGCTGGCCTACAGCAGCAGCAGCAGCAGCGGCTCCGACGAGTGGATCGTCCTCGAGCCCTGTCCAGCCGCCTACTCGCGACTCATCCAGTCGGTCGGCGCCGTGCCCGTTCCCCTGCCCCTGAGGCCGGACCACTTCTGGAGCTTCGAGCCTCGCGAGGCGGCTCGACTGTTCGGTCGCAGGACTCGGGGCGTGCTGCTGGCCAATCCGTCCGAGGCCTCGGGCAAGGTACTCACCAGACGCGAGCTGCAATTTCTCGCCGACCTCGCCAGCAAGTGGAACGCCCTGATGCTGATCGACGAGTCCCTGGAGTTTCTCGTCTATCGGCCGGCGCGACACGTGCGCGCGGCCGCCATACCGAGGATGTTTCAGCGTACCATCACCATCGGCTCGACCGCGGACACGTTCGCCTCGTCGGGCTGGCCCTGCGCCTGGGCTTACGGCCCGACCAGGCTCCTGAACGATCTCAAATTGATACAGTTGCACGTGGCCAGTCCGCCGGCTACACCGATTCAGGTATTGCGATAAGGTATACGCGAGAACGCGACGATCGAAGTTCATCTCGTTAACAAACATCGTTTCAGATAGCCATGGCGAGCGTGATCGAGCATCGACGGATTTTTCGCGCCGACGATCCGACCTCGTACGTGTCTCGCTACGCGCACGAGCTCCAGCAGAAGCGAGACTTCACCGTGGCTCTGCTGACCGTCGCGGGTATGCTGCCGGTCGAGCCTCAGGCGGGCCACTGCATCTTGGCCAATTGGACGAGTTTGCTGGAGACGATCGAGCTCGGTGACGCCGACGAGGATTACCGAATCACGGATTGGGAATTCGCGCGTTGGCTCGCTCAGCGACTCGGCGTCGCTCTCATGCCTCTGTCCGCGTTCTACAGCGAAAATAATCAGCAGATCGGTCGAGGCTTCGTCAGATTTTGCTTTGCAAAGGTAGTTATTTATTCATTATGATGGCGTTTGCAGTGGGTGACATTTTTTTCTTTATGATTTCAGAAGCAAAAGACCCTCGAGGAAGCAGCCAATCGGCTGTTGGAATTGGTTTAGAAAATTTTCCATTTCTGTAAATCGCGGTAAAACTATCGATCTACGAAATAAAGGACTCTCGACTCATTGATGAGAAATATTATTCGTTAATATTTACTTTTATTACAAAATTTTCTGTGTTTAGGCTACAACATGTAATATAATAATTGTTTGGTCTAGACCATGTACCAAAACAAAGATGAGATACGATGAAGAAGAGTAAACATTCAAAAGTCAAAATAAACAAATTGCACATCGATATTTTTCAACGAGAATAAAGCTTTGAAAATTCGTTTTTATAAATGCCAATCGGGTCTCGATAAATTCGTCATTTCCAATCTCCGATTTGCTACGCCGAATTATTTTTATAAACGTTGCATTGGAATTTATAAAAAATATAGTACCATTGGCGCTTCGATAATCTATTTCCTGCGATCTTGGATTTTTCAAAGCATTATACTAGTTTAGTTCACAATTGAAATTCAAGTAAGGAGTAAGTCACCTTTGCAGCGGGAAAATTATAGAACAAACGACTGATCGACTTCCAAATGTTTACAGTTATCGAAACGCAGCTCAGAGATGTGTAAAAATAATAAAATTAGTTCTAATTATTATTTATATTTATTTTTTAATATATTTATATATTTATATATTTATATTACTCTCGCGTGCTTTTGGTCGCTCTTGTACAACATTCGTTCCGTGCTTATTCTACATAGTAAATATTTTTTTTAAATATATTATTTATTAAAAATCTTACGATCATTCTTCCTTTTTTTTGTTACTTTCATTTGTCAAAAAGAAGGAAAAATATCTCCTAGAAGCAACACTAATCTTATAGATAGATGTGATATCTTTTCCGCTTATCATAATATAACTCTATTTATAATAGGTATGCACTTTTCAAATAATTTAAACTGACACATAATTTGTTTCATTTTATTTTTCTTAATATATATCAATAATGTTTTTTTCGCGTCATAGCACACAATGATTTTTAATTTTAACAAAAATTATACAATAGTAAACGGCTCACAGGTAGTCGAAGATCAGGAGAAAGCCGTGCAAATGGCTATGTATCAATTGTTAATAATCGAATACTTATATCTTCACAAGAAAATGTCATCGTCAAAGACGATCCATCAATCATTAGTTATACACTATCTATAAATTTTCATATTCATTATTCATACTTAATTTTCATCTAAAAATGAAAATATCAAATGATTGTATATAAATTATACAACGCTTAAGGATTTAATAAAAAATCCACGCATAAAAAAATTACAAGCATCAATCACAGAACCTCGTGCTTCTCACAATTCAATAATTTCTTTATGAAGATAAATTGTCATAATATCATTTTAAATAATATAATGTTTTGATTAGCCGCTGATTAGATGCGATTTATAAATCATTTAGAAATGGAATATTGCACATCAAACAACCTCGTGCTCTTCGACTTAATTTTGCTTTAAACAACATGGCATGATTATTTCGTTTTTACCTGTGAAATTTTATTCTATTTATTTCGAATGAACAGAAACCACAATGATTTTAGTTAATTTTCTGTAACCATTCCGTTTTTGCCACTAACGACTCCTTTATATAGGAAATCATTCATCAAGTATAGAATAATGTATACAATCTGAAACGATTTTCATTCTCATTTCTATTTCGATTGCATAAAAGTAAAAGTCTTCGCGCTATCATGTATTCACGCTTTATAATTATATTATATTTACCGATATTTAACACCATCATCATGATACAAATCTTTATATGTTTTAAACTATATAAGTTTTACCATTCAAGTTTCATTAATATTACATTTGTGCCCGTTGCACTACAAGATAGATTATAAATTAATAATTTTTCTTTCCTTAACAATATTATATAGCTTGACTGCATGTATACAATTCATATACATAGTATGTAAATCGTATGAGTTTAAAATACTTTATTTACATATGTACATTTACTTAAAAAGAAAAAAAAGTAAGTGATAGCGCTTCTCTTAGAAGGATTACTGGAAAATTATATTTTCTACAACGAATTAACTGTTGATATTATAAACTTATTAATAAAGAAATCGCATCATTTCGTTGAAAATCTAATAGGCAATTCCATTTATCGTAGTATTTTCTATCAAAGGCTCGCTTAACGACTCGTATCTGACATTTGTCGGTTTTCTTTCTCACATTTGCTTGTGATTACTTGTCATTATTATAACTAAAAAAATATACAGTGTATCTTTATCTACGAATAGTTAAAAAAGTAAATGGAAGAAAGAAAACAACAAAGCAGTGAAGAACAAACGATGTTAACGCTTCATCTGCTAAAGTACTCTAATATAATGGAGTGATCTAACTAGCCAAGACCGCATGCTATCGTTCTGTTGAATGCAGAGTTTTTTCCAAAAAATAAAAGATAAATAAATGAATAATTTTATTTACTGTAAAAAGATATTCATACCCTTAGTTGTCCAGTCAATAATTTTGTAATTCGAATTGTAAATTACGAAAATGGTATCATCTATAAGGTAATTGATTCGTCTGCGTACAAAAATACCATTTCATAATTTGAGTAGAAAATTTCATGTATAGATTTGTAAAAATCACTAATTAGGTAAGAACAATGTGTGTCAAATGGTCGTTGCACAAGGCATTCAGAGTACTTCGAGAGAGAAAAAAATGTCAACGATCACGAAAAATCACAAAACTGTCGGTGATGAGTTTCTTACTCGTGCTACGACTCAATGTCGTCTTCTCGCTGGCTACTGAAGTACGACACCAAGCCACCGAATTCACCGCTGCTACCTTCCTCGTCGCGTTTACCATACGGATGTCCTGGGTGACCCGGATGGCCCGCATGACCGGGATGAGGCGGATGCGGACCCGGTGGCATCTGAGCTCGAGGCGGTGGACCCGACTGCGTCTGCGGCGGTCCTGGCCTAGGTGGTGGTGGCAGTGTCTGTTCAGCGCCGGCCGGTGGATAATGCTGCTGCTGATCAGCGGCGCCGGGATAAGGTGTCGGCTGATACGGAGCTCCGGTGCCAGTTTCCTCGTTCATGGGCATGGAAGGCGGTCCGGTGTAAGCCGGCCCGTAGTGATAGTTCGGCGGAGGAGGCGGATGATAGGGCGAAAAGTTGCCGGGTGTGCGACTCGTCGGTGGCGATGGCTGTTGCATGTTCGCATTGGTGAACGCCGGCAGCGGATGACGCGGACTGCCCATCTGTGGCTCGGCGAAACGGCGCACGTAGGGCGGCGGAGGAGTAGGGCCTCCCTTGGCCAATGGACTACCTGCCGACGGTGGTATCATGTTGAGCGGAGGTCCACCAGGTGGGCCAGGACCCAGGGGAGAACTTCTGTCGGCACCGCCGGGTGGACCGCCCGGAGGAGGTGGGCCACGGCTGTTTATGGTGATCGGCCCACCACCTGACGGGCTCGGATCCATCATGCATCCGTACATTCCTGGAGCAGATCCAGGTACTCGCAACCTCATGTTCGGTGGCGTACCCGCCCTAACTGGTGGGAAATGCGGTGGCATTGGCTGTTGCGAGCCAGGTTGTCTATATGGCGAAGGTATCCGTCCTAAAATTAGTAAAAAAAATTTGTTCAAAAATGTTTAGATATTCTTCTACGGTGTAACTTGAATATGATCTTATGGAAAAGCAAAAACTAACGCCCCCGGGTGGGCTCGAACCACCAACCTTTCGGTTAACAGCCGAACGCGCTAGCCAATTGCGCCACGGAGGCTACGAAACACGGGCCCAATATTGAGATTGAAAGCACAAGAGTTACATCAAGTGATTTTTGAAAAATAAATACAAAAACTAACGCCCCCGGGTGGGCTCGAACCACCAACCTTTCGGTTAACAGCCGAACGCGCTAGCCAATTGCGCCACGGAGGCTACGGAGCACGGGCCCAATGTTGAGATTCAAAGCACAGGCGTTACATCAAGTGATTTTTGAAAAATAAATACAAAAACTAACGCCCCCGGGTGGGCTCGAACCACCAACCTTTCGGTTAACAGCCGAACGCGCTAGCCAATTGCGCCACGGAGGCTACGGGAAGAGGCCGTAATGTTGAGTATGAAATGACTAAGGATTAAATGAATTATTTCAAAGAGCTGATCGACAAAAATAATCGCCCCCGGGTGGGCTCGAACCACCAACCTTTCGGTTAACAGCCGAACGCGCTAGCCAATTGCGCCACGGAGGCTTCGAAATTCAGGCAAAAATTTGACTCTCAATATTTCAAAATCTATCTCAAGTATTTCAAAAAACTGATCGACAAAAGTAATCGCCCCCGGGTGGGCTCGAACCACCAACCTTTCGGTTAACAGCCGAACGCGCTAGCCAATTGCGCCACGGAGGCTACGGAACGCGTCTTTAATTTTGATTCCCAAGAAGCTAGAGTCTCAGAGAAGTATTTTGAAAAGCAAATCGAAAAAAAAAACGCCCCCGGGTGGGCTCGAACCACCAACCTTTCGGTTAACAGCCGAACGCGCTAGCCAATTGCGCCACGGAGGCACTCAAGATGCCTATTCTTAAAAAGTTTCACATTCTACAAAGCTTCAAATTTGTAAAGAGTTCTGTCATCAATAGAAAACTCGATGAAAATTGGATGAAATTTTTGCTGTGTATTACACACAATTTTATAGATAAAAAATTTCATACAAAACCGCACCAAACTTAGCAGTCGTTCACTTACAATTTTCAAGATTCGTGTGTGTAAAACACGCAATTTACTCACCTCTGTTTTGCATGTCAAAACCAGGTCTTGGTCCACCCATCATCGGTCCGGTAGGATTTGGTGGCCCACCGAAGTATTTGTGGCTCATGGCCACAGCTGCAGAAGTGAAAGACTGTGCACTGCTTGGAACAGGTGGTTGTGTCTGCAGCATTCTAGTTATAACTGATGACTGTTGTGATCCAGGCTGTTGCGGTGGCATGCTAGAATAGACACTAGCCGGATTCGACGTCGTGGGTGGAGTCGAAGGCGAAACATTGCTTCCAGGGGGTAAAACGGAAGCTTGCATTTCTTCAAGTTTCGAAAGTTCGGGATTTGGTCCACTTTCCACTGGCGTTGGAGGTATTCCCATCAAACCTTGCTCTGCAGCAACTTTGGCAGCAGCTTCAGCTGCACGAGCTGCTTCCATTGCTAAAGTTTTTTTGCCTTTGCCTCTACCACGACGTTTTGGTTTCAAAGGACTACCATCAGGATTGAACATTGGACTGCTATCCATAGAGTAGTCACTTGACTAAAATTTTTCAATTGAATTAAATCATTATTACATTCATAAATTGAACACACCTTGAGTAAATCTAGACGAAAAAACTTACTTGAGGTGAAATCATAGGTATCATAGGATTATTTTCCATCATCCTAGGATCACAAGCAGGTGGTGGTTGTTCAACCGGGCCCATACCAGGTATCGGCTGCATTGTAGGCATGCCAGTTGCATTTATTATTTCTGTAGGAGGTGGTACTGGCACCTGCATGTGTTGAGCTGCCATTTGCTGCACTGGTACTGGTATCATTGGCGGTTGTGTGGGGAGTTGCTGAATGGGCTGCTGCTGTGGCTGTGGTGGGGGCGGCTCCTGTACTTGAGGTGGCATTTCGGGTGGCAATCCAGCTGATTCTCTCCTCATTTGTTCTGCGAGAATTTCAGCCTTGCTTCGTCGGCCACGTTTCTTCTTTTTAGGAACATCCCCATCCGTGCCGTCAGGATTCATGCTCTCTGCTGCCAATATTTCTAAAGCTTTCTGTCGAGCTTTTTCCATTTTTTTCGCTTCACGCTCTTCCTTTTTCTTTTTCTTCGCAAGCTCGAGAGCATCCATATCAATTGGTCTTTGATCGTAATCACCATCCATCATTAGCTGATCCACTAATTGCTCATCGAGACTGGCCAAAGATCCTATGAAAAAATATTCACTTCACGTTAGGAAAACTTCTAAAATTAAGTATAACTTCTTTCGCGAGGTTAACTCCGACGTGGTGACTCGTACTTTTCGAGGTAACAAGTGCGGTAAAACATCTAGCGCCGGCGCTCGAACTTACGATTTACATATTTCAAGTCTAATCAAACGGGGACGAAAATAAACTTAGCTATTTCGGCGTATTACTCATATTACGATTCTCGTTTCATTTGATCACATCGCTCGAATAATTCGATTAAAAAGTATTGTAGATATCGCGTGTAAACATTAGACAAAAGAAAATTAATATTAAACTGACCTTCGACAGTCACATTTCCGGGCAAAATACCCTGCACAGAATCGTCGACTTGCATTCCTACAAGCATGTCGTTATTGATGAGACTTGAGTCGAAGTCATCGCCAGACTTCGATTGACGTTTTTGCTTCGTACCCGGTTTGGGACCAGGCTTTTTACGCTGCTTTGGAGTACCATCGTCTGACACTGATTTTCTTTTCGCTCCAGGACTTCTTTTATTGCCTCGGCCACGACCACCGCCTCGAGGGGTAGCACTTTTACCACGAACTACTTGGTGTTTAGGAGAATACACATCTGAGGAAAAAAACAGCAAGTTGTATTTTCATTATAGGCTTATTGCTGGAATCGTGACTTGGAATCTTTTTAAATGATTTTTACCATCGTCTGAATCTTTTTCAGCGTCGTCTATGATGTCTTCGTTATCGTGAACAACAAATTCATCTTCCGCATCCTCAGTTTTTCTCAACGCTTTTTTCAATTCCTGAAAAGAAGAAAAAGTCTTAATATCAACTGAATCATTAATTTTTAAAAATTTGCGAAATCGAACGAACCTCATCACTGTCCGATGGCATAGCGTCGAGGTAACTAATTTTTCTTCCTCTAGTACGTCTACCAGTGTTTAATTCTTCTTCAGCAATTTCATTCTCATCTCTTATTCTGCCGTAAACGATTTTTCTTCTTATTTTCTTTTCTTTTGGCTCTTTCTTTTTCTTTTTATATTGATCTCCTTGTTCCATGGGTGTTGCTTGTGGAACAGGTAAAGCATCATAAGCAACTGGTGGAACTAAATCTTCTGCAACAGGAGGTACTATTGTTTGAGGTACAGGTACTTGTTCCATTGGTTGAGACTGATCGAATGGCATTTCGATATCTTGGTTGACTCCTAAAGATTGATTTATAATTGGGACTGGTCCAGATACTGGATCCGATGTTGCAGCCTCAGCAGGAATAGTTTGTTGAACATGTTCAACTGGCTGTAATGGTTGACTTTGCTGAATTGGTTGAACTTCTTGAGCCACTGGTGGAATTACTGGAGGAACTTCTTCGAATTTTTGTGTTTCTTCCTCTTCATCGCTGTCCTGCGTTATAATGCGCTTCCTCTTCTTTTTCTTTTTGCTTGCTTTGATTTTTGGTGCTGATCGCCTGGAAGATGAGCTTTTACGATTTTTCTTCTTCTGTCGCCACGAATTATCGCTTTCTTCGCTCTCGGATTCAGCAGCCCAGCTGCCTCTGGATTTCTTCCGTTTCGGACGATCACTGTCATCACTATCGTCATTGACTAAAATGAGAAAAGTATCATTAATATATTGTTTTGAAAGTCATTAGTTCCAAATAAAATAAACGAAATAAACTTACTAAAATCTTCATCGTATCTGGTCGTACGAGCTCGAGTCGATCTTCTGACGGGACGTTTATCTCTTCCTCTACCACGTCGTCGACCAGCCAGATCGCTGTCATCGGACGAGCTAAGCTGTTCATCGGGATCTTCTTCCTCTTCTTCGGAGCTCGAACCCTTGAAATCTTCATCGCTATAAGGATCATCTTCTTCACTACTGAAGTCCAAACTGTTGAGCTTGCGAGGTTTTTTACGAGCAAGCATTCTAGCTTTAGCTGTGACTTTTACTCTCGTAAGAGAATCATTATCATCGTCACCATCGTCGTTGTCGTCTTCTTTTTCGACTTTGAAATCTTCATCGCTATCTTTTTCGGACTTCGCGTCACCTTCGTACTCTTCTTCAGCTTTCAATTGTTTCATGGCTTCGTATTCTTTTTCTTGTTTTTCAGCGGCATTTACGATGGTCGCAATGTCTTTGCCTCGGCCTTGGTTACCAGCGCCCTATTTAAAAAAAATCAAAATATGATTCATTGTATCTCCGAGCAAAAAAATTCACTCGTTATTTGTTTGTGAAATTAACTTACCTTTGAAGATTCGAAATCCCCTTTGATAGCATCTTTGATCAATTCATCGTATTCGGTAAACTTGTAGGAAGCATTAGCAGTCCGTCTTTCTCTAAGCTGATAAACAGGCTCACTCTCGTCGCTACTCGATTCCTCGGAGCTGGATTCGTCACTGCTCGATCCGTCGCTCGAATCGTCATCGTCGTCTAAACTCGAACCTCGAGATGGCCTACGAGTTCTGGTACTGTCTTCGGCTTTTTGAAGTACATTGTCCATGCTAATGCCAACATAGGCGATGCGCTTTTTCCGAAGCAATTCGTTTTCGTGCTTCTTCGTTTGTATATCGAAGATTTTGAGTTTTTCTTGAAGTTTGGTAACTAAAGTATAATGTTGACACGGTGGACAGAACCAGTCGCCCTCGGGAATAATCATAAGGGCAGGCCTTAGACAAGAACAGTGCCAACCTTGATCACAGCTATCGCAAAGAAGAATCCACTCAGGATGATCAGATTTACTACACTTCTGACAAGCATACTCGTCTTCAGCTTCGTCGTCATCTTTTTGAGCAGTTCTAGCACGGCGCATGGGTTCGGATTCTTCTTCTTTTTCAAGATCGCTTTCCGGAGAAAATTCGTGATCACTTTTGAAAACGAGTCGGTCTTCGTCTGTCTCGATTTCCTCCTCTTCTTCTTCGTGCTCTTCATTTTCATCGGAACTAGACGATCCGGAAGAACTCTGCCATGGATGATCGTGGTTGAATTTAGCACCAAGTTTCTTCTTCTTGCGTTTCTTTTTCTTTTTCTTGTCTTCCTTTTCAAGATCCTAAAATAAAAAAACATTCGTTAGTATATAATAATTCAATTTTGATATCATTACGATGGAAATAGAATTTTTACCTTCATCATTTTTTCGTCCTCTTCGCTTTCTTTCTTACGCTTCTTCTTCTTATCTTTTTTCTCCTCTTTGTGCTTCCCGCTTTTGTCGTGTTTTTTGGGTTTCTTTTCGCTCTCTACTTGAGCCTTGGCCATTTCTTCGATCAAGCTTTTGTCAGCTTCCTTTTTGATCCTCAATTGAGCAATTCGCCTCGAAGCTCGCACAGGAGTTTCACTATCCCCGATTCCTGCTGCTTCACTTTCTGCGATATCCAGACCGAGGAGCATGTTACGCTTTTTACGTTGTTTCTTTTCCGGTGCTTTAGCTGCAGTTTCACCTTCATTCGCATCTTCTTTTTTGACACTTGGATCTGCTTCCGGCTGCTCGTTCGATTCACCTGCAGCCTCGTTGGTTGCTGGAGCAGGTGGTTTAAGAGCTGTTGCGCGACCTTTTTTGCCACCTTTACGTTTTCGTGCTTTCGGTCGTTTACCTTTTTTCGCAGTGGCAGCGGCAACAGTTCCGACAGTACTCGCTTCACCTTCCTTATCTTGTGAATCGTAACCTGCAGCTCCATCGATCGCAGCTTCCTCGGATTCTTGTTTTTTGAAATCGTCCTCGGAACTGGCGCTGATCTTTCTGCTCTTTTCGACTTTTTCGCGGAACTGCTGATCGACGGTTCTTTTGGCTTTGAGCTTCATTCTTTTACCAGCCGTACCTTCGTCTTCGTCTGATTGCATTTTTGAACTGCCCAAATCTTCGGAGTCATTGTCTTGAGCTTGACAACTGTTTCGTCGTTTTCGCGACTGTCTCGTTACTCGTTGCACTATTTCAGCTGGAGGTTCCATGGTTGAATCCAGTTTCCATGCACCAGCTGTCGCTATATCAGGTACTTCTGCGACACGAATTCCACCAACCGATGCAACGATGTCTTCGGCAGATTCGGAATCAGCGACAGGAGGTTCGTCGTCGACAGGTGGTGCATCGAACATGCTCTCGTCGTTACCTCCAGCCCCAATAGAGTCATCATCGCTAGAAGCTTGTTCTGCGGTTTCGATCGATTCTTGAGGTAGTGGTGGTGCTACATGAGATTCCTTTGGTTCGCTTTCTTTTGGTAAATGCTCTTTTGGTTCAGCTAATTCCGTTAATTGAGTAGACGCTATCGTAGGAGTTTCTTCCACTAGTGTTGAAATTTGATCGGCATTGACATTATGCTTTTCAGTGAGTATTTCGGATGAATCTTCTGTCTGTACTGAAGACTGATCTTTTTCTAATGCTGTGTCAATAACGTTTGAAGGAGTTTCATGAGACTCGGTCATCTGCATTGTTTGCTGTGTAGGTACAGTTTCTACAACAGGTGCTTCGTCAATTTTCGATGCCACTGTACTTTCCAAAGGTGTCAATTTAGATTCATCCACTTTTTCAGAGAACAAATCTGTCTGTTCAACCTGCGTGATACCTTTAGAAATTTCACTAAATCTTTCTTTATTTTCGTTTTGAGTTGCTGTTATCGTTTCGGATACAGCAAGTGTTTCAGACTGAACAGACTCTTGGTCTTTAGAAGTTATCTCACTTACTTCCTGCGGCTGAGGAACATGTTCTAGATCCGCAGGTTTTTCTTTGCAAGTTTCTTGTGATTTAATTTTATTTTCAGTTGGAAATTGTTCAACAATTTCATTTTCAACTATTTTTTGATTATCGGACACTTTATCATTTGCAGGAATATCTGAAATTGTTTCTGAAGTAGACTTGCTACATACTGGTGCTGAACTATCTTGCTGTTCTTCTGTGTGTAGGTGTTTTATCGGTCGATCATCATACAGCTCTTCCTCCGGTAATCTTTTAGAACATTTAAATGTATTTGCATCTAAATTTTCATTAACATAATTTGTATGTGATAAATCAACTTTATGATATAGTTCATCAATTTTTGTTGAACTGATCTGTTTTACATTCATATCCTCTACATTTTTTTCCACAGCAATAGATGAAGGCATTTGTGTTTGATAAGCGGAGATTATGTTTTCTTTAACGGTAGGATGAGTTTTTTTCTTACTATCAATTATTGTCTTACTTAGATCATCAATAACAGTCTGCTTTTTCCAAGATTGAATTATTGGCTCTTTTTCAGCAATAATTTCATTTTCAGAAGAAGGTATACTGGTATTAGCAGCTCTAGACTCAAGTTCACCTGTGACAGAATCTTCGTCAAGCGTCTCTGCATTATTAACTAATGAAGATTTCTCTAATTTACTTTCATGATTGGGTATAACTTTCTCTAAATCTTGTTTTGGAGTAGCTTCACAAGTAGTATCAAGATTTTTATGACCTTCAGATAGCTGTGATACACTTTCACTTAGATTTTCAAAACTTTTGGGCTCTTTTGTAGAAGCAGTAACTTTTGTTTCTTCAAGTTTTTCACTATTTTCATCTTTTACTATTGTTTCTGAACTCTCTTCACTTTTTTCAACTTTTTCCAGTGTTTGTAAATCCTCTACGTTATGCTCATGATTTTTCGAAGAATCAGTTGCTATATCCTGTTCTTTAACAACTTCTACTTGAGTAGGCTTGACATCTGCTTTTTTGCCTGAAGTTGAACAATCAGCATTACTTTCATCAATTGAATCGCTGTCATAATAAGCCACTAAAGGCTTGCAATCAGATTCTTTTCCAGAACCATCCATAATATCACTTTTATCAATAACTTTTAATTCTAATTTATCGGAATCGTCGCATTTTTTCAATTCAACGTTAGTATTTTGAGTAGACTTATCAGTCACTGGCGATTCAAGAGAAATTTTGATTTCAGACTCTTTGTTTGCTTTATTTTTATCCGAAATAGTGTTTGTCAAGTTATCAATACTTTTAGCCTGTGACGGATCATTGACAACAGAAATATCAGACGTTTTTGATTCAACTGATTCAACATCATCGATATTTTTAGGAATTGTAAATTTCTGATCTATATTTGTTTTTTCTAATAACGTATTTCCAGCTTGTAAACTTGAATCTTGTTTTGGAATTTGTTGTTCAATTCCTTCTTTACTAGATTTTTCAGATGACTCAGTTGTGTCTTTTGATTGTTCTGCTCTTGCTTGATCTTCCAAAACATTATCATTACCAGCAGGCGAATCTTTTTCGTTCATTATAATATCTGGTGGACTTTCCAAAGCATCATCTTTATTTGAATCACTTGATTTTTCAGATTTGTCATCAGTTATCATAGTCATATCATCGTCAGTTCTAATACTAGCACACTCAACTATCAAACTTGATTCCACTGATCTTTCATCTATTTTTTTGAAGTATAAAGAATCTGTATTGCTTTGCTCAGCTTCAGCAGCTTTTCGTCTCACGTTTTCTATTGTCAACCTTGATGGAGGTGGAAGATCACTTTTTTCTTCTTCAACACCATGATCATTGGTGATATTACACTTATTATCATTTTTCTTATTCTCATTGACATTACTTTTTTCACTGACTGACGATTCCTCATCGATGTTTCCCTGAAAATCAGAATTGTCCTGATTTGATATACTTTCGTCCATTTTTTCATTAATTTCGGATTCATTTAATCTTAATCTTGAAGTATTTTCAGCAGAAAATGTTTCTTCCATTTTCAATGTGTCATCAAGATCAACATCAATATCTTTTGAAGTAGGACTAGTACACTTGGTTGGTTCATCTATTTGAGTTGCAAAAGTAGAAGCATCCTCTGATTTCTTTTTCTCACCAGGAGAAAAATTAGTGGCTGTTTGATTATCTGAAAGTTTATCAGCAGTGCTCCGTTCACTTTTAGAAATATCTAAAACATCAGATGCTACATTCTCAATTTTTTCTTCAACCAATTCAGGTTTTCCTTTGGTTTGAGTGTGTGTTGCTTCAGTTCCAAACATTGACAAAGAATTGATAGGAGGTACAATTGAACTGGATTCTTCATCATTTTTTGATATAGTAAGATTTGATATTGAATCTTTGCTCTCAACATTAGAATCAGAAGTATTACTGTTTTCAGCTGATATTGGTTGATCTAGAAGTTTATTACCATCATCACGATCAACACTTTGTGAACAACTCAAGTCATCAGAAGCAACTTCATCAACAGGGTTATCCACATCAGCCAAAACTTTTTCAGATACTCTTGATTGTTCTTTCAAAGTTTCTTTTTCTTCTACACGTTCACTTTTACTAGAATTTGATTCATCTTTGTGGGATATATCAAGAGGTTTTTTGCTTTTAGCTTCATCAGTAATTTGGGGTAACTGTAAGCTCGATTCTAGTTGAGGTATTTGTGCATTATCTACAGCATCATCAGACTGGGCTGTTTGCAACCAAGAGAGCTCTGAATCTGCTTGTGTTGCAATCTGCATTGGTTCTGAAGAATCACTGTTTTCGGTTGTTTCTGTCATCTTGGAGTCTTCTTTTCCAAAAGACACTGAACATTCACTTTTATCCGATTTTTCTAGATCAGTTTCAGACTTCGTTTCTGAGTTCATAGACTCTTGGGTATTTGTATTTTCTAAATGTTTTGAAGGCTCACATGATGCTTTGGATTCTTCATTCTGCTGCTTAACTTCATTTTCAGTCTTGACAGTTTTTACAAGTTCTTTTTCAACAGTCTTGAGATCGTCCAATGAAGATTTTTCATCTTCTGTTTTTATTTCAGAAACATTTTCAACTGCACAAGAACTTATTGTATCCGCACTTTTGGCCACCTCAGATTTTACATCTGTCTTATCACATAGATCTTTTTTCGTGCTTTCATCATCATTTTTAGGAACAATTTTTGAATCATTTTTTAGACCATTATCTTCTTCGTTGACTCGTGGTTTGGATGCAGCACCATAAGCTATGCAATTTGGTCCAAAAAAGAATTTTGGAGGAGAAATTTGCTCAGCCGAATTTTCATTTGGTCCAGATGGACCACCGACGTCCCATCTCGAACTTCTTTTCGGTGTTACAACGGTACTCGGTTGATTGAAAATTTGTACACCAAGTTTATATTTTGTTTTGCTTGGACTAAGCTTTTCTTCGTCTTTTTGTTCTTCATTAGTAGGACTATTGCCGGTTTCGCAATCTGCACCAGAACCTTCACCATAAAAATACATTACTGGCTCTTCAATTTCTTCGCCAAAAACAGCGTCGCAGTCAGCACCCGATCCCTCCCCTCGCACCATCATAACGGGGTCTTCAATGGCCTCACCGACTTCATCTCGCCAATGTGGGGCTAGTTTGGCAGGATCTACTCCTCGAATATTGTCGGTTCGCATGCGTTTCAGAACGGCGTCAGAAGGTTCCATTGTATCTAACGGCCGTTTGAGTGGAGAACTACTTTGAGCCATTCGTAATGTGGATAATTTACTAGGATCAGGGACCATGGCGTAGCTTGGTAAACGTTGCTGAGGAGAAGCCCCATAAGGCACTCCAGCTACATTTGAAGGTAATTCATAAGGCTGATATGGTACATGGCGTTTGCTCAAGTCAGCAACTAATGCGTGATTTCGAAGCATAGCGTGAGTTCTTACATCAAATGCCGCCTGAGGTTCATACTGAGACTAAAATAAATAATGATCATTTTAAGATATTTATTAAAATAATCACGAGGCTTTATAATAAACGGAATTTTGACTCACCAGATTTGGATGAAGCTTAGCGGCAGATTTGCGAGTGCTCAAATCCATGCTTAGTTGCTGCTGATGATGTGATGCAGTTAAATCTTGTGGCTTGAAAACAGAAGCCGTCGATTTACGATTCGATAGATCCATTCCAGAAAAATCGACTGGTTGATCATTCGCATTTTCCCATCCTCTGGGTGAAGTAGAAAGATCTATTCCTCGATGATTGCGCGGCTGCTGCAATCTGACATCATCTTCACCATTTGACTGAATACCAAAAGCACTCGCTTGTCCTTTGGCTAAAGATTCAGCGATTTTATCGAGTTTACTAAAGGGTTTATCTGCCTTTATTCGCCCAAGATTAGCAGCAAGTTGATCAATGGGTTTTACTGATGGTTTATTATGACCAGAACTCAAATCAGTCGTTACACCGAAAGTATTGTTAATCACTGGAACCTTGCCTAAAATTTTAAATAATTTTCATTGTAACAGACTAAAATCAAATTTCAAGAAAAACTACAAAAAAGGAAAAATTACTTACTGTGTGTTTCGACTTTTTTCTCTGGATCTTGTTTTAGTTCATTGATATTAACAATTTTAAGTGGTGAGGTAGTTATCACAGGAGTTTCAATAGATTTAATTGTTGTATTGGTTCCATCTTGATGAGTAGTCGTGCCATTTTTCACAGATTCAGTACTATTAACAGTACCTTCTTCATTTACAGGAACCTCAACAGATTTCTCTGATTTTTGGATTATTTCACGATTAACAGATTGAACAACAGATTGTGCAGGTACAGACTTCGTTGCTGATGATGGTTCTGGTTCTGATACAGATACTGGGACTGTTCCTGTTACAGGTGTTATGACAGTTTCTGGTACAGATGCACATGTATCTGAACTTTTACCATTTTCTTTGCTGATAATTGTTTCTTTTTGATCATCATTTTGTTTATCTTCCTCCTCCTCTTCTTCTTCTGATTCAGACTCTGACTCTTCTTCCTCTGATTCTTCCTCACCTTCGTCGTCATCATCACCCTCTTCACCATCTTCCTCTTCATCGTCATCATCTTCTTCGTCATCTTGCTCATCATCATCTTCTTTTTCTAACTTTTGTTTATCTTCGAGATCATTTTTATTTTTTTCATTTTCAAGTGCATCGCCATTAATAGGATTAGTTTCTTCTTGACCAGTATCAATAGTTGGTTTTTCTAAGGTTTCAAGACTATTGCTGTCTTCTTCACTTATTGGGATATCACCCACCTCTCCATCAGTTAAAGTATTTATTATAGCAACCATGTCTTCACGATTTCTGCAATAGTGAAAGTTTATAATAAATAATTAATCAAAATCCAAAAAATGAACATGAATGCAAATTATTTTTATTAATGTTTCAACTCACTTGGCAATCAATTCCCAATTTTCTTCCTCTAAATCTTCTCTGTATACTCGAATATTACATTCTTCGTCTAACTGGCACCAATAAGTCAAACCAGCTTTATCGCGTCCCAGGGGTTGCAGTCTCAGTTCATTTGCTGGTAATTTGTTGACTTCATTCTTGAACCTCTGATTTTTGTCAAATTGTATTTCTAATAGCGCCTGGGTAATTAAATAATTTTAGTGATATTTTGTTGCAAAATCATCAAACAATCTAATATAATAATAAGACATTCAAGTACATACCTTTAGCACTCTTAGTTTTATCGCTGCTCGAGCTTTTTTATATCCAATTCGCTCTAACTCCCAAGCATCTTGATTGGAATATGTATGACAGAATTTGACTACTGCTCTTTCCCATTTTTCTGGATTAACACTCTTTCTTGCTTTCCTAAGTAGTTTGACGTGTAGATCCACAAGAGGCTTAGGCACTGTGAAAACAAGAAAAAAAGAATTGAAGAAACGATTCTCGAATCATGAATCAAGTGAAGTGTCAAAGCACTAAGAAGAGGATAAATACAAACAAGATAGTGTCAAAAAAGCATCACGTGCCAGTAAAACTACAGGATTAGCGCGCGCTTGACAGCAAAGTCAAACCGTAGAGAAAAAGTCGTCAGTCATCGCCTATTTAGTACCGAGAGAGATTTATTTAGCCGAAGAAAGCCAAAAAAGTAAATAAGACACATTCTTCGTCGTCGCCGTACACACAAATATATAATAATACACAAGTGCAGGGTCCCCGCCCCGTGCGCGCGCGCGCTTACAAAACAAAACCAAACATTGTGTATATAGGTGAGCGCACTCGCGGTGCATATAGATATATTAATGCAGTAAATAAAGAGAGCCTTGGAGGCGAGTAGCACAGAGTGCACACGCAGGCCAGAGATCGTTGGAGCGAAAGCAACAAGCGCACGTATGTACAGGTCGTCGTGTTGCTGCTGTTGCTGCATAAACATCGACTATCTATATGCACAGCGCACGCATTAGATGCAGCACACACATACATAGCATATAAAGAATACAACATGTTCCATAAGCTGTGCAAGTACAAGTTTGTGTACATACACGAATGGAATTTGACACATTATGCATCGCGATGCTCCTCGCGCATGAATGAAAAGAAGGAATAAAGGAGTCCGTCTCGAGGCATTTCAACGCGCCAACAATAGACCCTCGAGGCACGTCTTGTTGGGTGCTTGTATGTATACATTCGCACGACTGTATATACAGATAAAGGCGGGAGAGAGATAGAGAGAGAGGGGTTGTGTACAACACATAATCGGAGCAAGTGACGGAAAGCGTACGTACATGCAGGCATATACACAAACACGAGCTCGAGACACGATAACAATAGAAACTTCAAAAACTACGAAGGGAGTGCAAGAATAAGTCAGGAGTCGCGAGAGAACGAGAGAGGCATATAAGCAGAGCGCGCTCACGGGGAGCTCTCCGTCTCTTTCTCTCTCTCTCTCTCTCTCTCTCTCTCTATCTCATGCCATTCGTCGCCTGCATCGTCGGAGTTCGGACTCACCATCTTGCGTATTGTCAATCCAGTCCTGTAGACTGGCTATGTCCGGTGTCTCCAGTCCGCAGTGCTTGCCGAATTGCTCGATGAACGAGCAGATGACCGCGAAATTCGGGTCAGTCACGCAGGAGGCTTCGCTGCTTTCCGCCGACGCCATTTTTAACTGTACGCCGCCGCCGCCGCCGCCACCGCTACTTTACCGCACAACACTGTGGCGAACTGAACTGAACTGAACTGTGCTCGCTGCTGCCTGCTGCTGCTGCTGCTGTTGCTTGGTGCTACCACCTCGATGCGTGTGTGTGTGCGTGTGTGCGAATGATTGCGCTGCTGCGCCGAGCGCGAGCCCAACTTCATATGCTGCGTGTGTGTGAGTCGCAAAACTGTGCGCGCGTATCGGAGCGACGATGCAACAACCCACTGCTGCTGCTGTTCTGTCGTTTTTTTTTTTTTTTGTTTTACATCACACGGGCATGATACAAGCCCGCAAGTCCAGCAGCCAAAATGAGACGAGCCTGTAAATGAGAGAAATAATAAACACACCGAAGAAACGAATATACGACAGAGATTGTATTACACGCGCGATCGGTAAATAAAAAAAGAAGCGACTCTCCGGTTCATTCGTTCAACGTTGTCGTGTATACCTATAGCGGAAAGGAAGTGTATCAGCAGCGACGAGAGTGTGCGTAGATTATTATTGAATACCTATAGGTATACAATACATACTATACATACCAGCGATTATGTGCATGAATATCGGAGTTGCGCGCGCGTGGATTCAGAGAGAGAGAGAGAGAGAGAAGAGAGAACTGCTGTTGTGATTGCGCGCGAACTTTACGCGACCGGCGAAATCTGAATGAACGCGATGGATAAATATGTATGACTTTCTCTCTCTCCGCATGCGAGGGATAAAGCGATACGATGCACAATATGCACTGTTATTGCATGTAACTCGGCGATTTTGGAATTCTCATGTATAGGCTCGCGCGTCAATTGTTTTATTTTGATTACGTCGGGCGCCGCGACGAAGAGTCTCGGATTACTTCATTTATTGGAAAAACCACGCGCGCTCCAGAAACCTCCAAGGCCAGTGTACTCTCTCGAGCTTTTTTGTTGCGTGTCGCGATTGTTACGATTTCGCTTCGATTGGCTAGATTTAAATTTGCGATGCGAATGCATCGAAACTCCATGGTGTTATACGATGGCAAATTTCAATTTGTTATAGCCGACTCGATTTTGTTTCGTCACATCTAGATACGACTATTACGAGCCGCTATATACGAGAAATGTCAGAGCGAATTCCTCCTGCGTGATGGCTGAAACCGACACGAAGCAGCTCGTGTGGTGCAGTGCATCGAACGGTCGCGCGCGCGCGTAACAATTGAAACGGAGCAACAACCATTATTTATTTATCGATTGCATGTACAGAAGGCGTAAATAAGACACACACACACACACACGAATCTAAAAGCAGCTCATCCTCGCGCAGTCGATGGACTGCATCACGGAGCGCCGAGCACGCGCGGCCGCGCGCGCCATCTACGCCGAAGACTCCGTGTTTTCGCGTATGCGTGTGTGCGTAAGCGTGTGTGTACGTGTGTATGTTTGCGCGAATGGAGTTTCATGCGCCGCGATATAGCTATAGATATGTACAGTACGAAAGATAACTTACAATGGTCCTTGAAAATAACAACGCACCACGCACGCACACTTTCAACACTCGCGCACGCACGATTGGCACTCGACTTCTTTTTTTTTTTCTCTTGCAACGAGGAATATCAATACACTTCACTTATTTTTTTTTCACTCTTCTCAAATCTCTGTGTATATGTACGAGACGAGGCGCACAAGATCGTTCCATAATAACGCTGTGGCTGTCCTGCGTTTCTTCACGCCAGCGGGCCGCGCGCACAAATAACACGCGAACACATATACACGGCACGCACTGTATATATATATATATATATTTATATGTAGTCACGCGCGTATGTGTGCGTGTAAATTCGCGCACACTATGCCTTAAGAGACAGTAACTATATATCGTGTTTATTAGTTGAATCGCTGCGACAACGAGAAGTTGAAGAGGCAACAACGCGTAGGCGACATCGTTCACTGGGACGCAGGCATGACAGCCGCATTATATCGCGCCAAAATGCAGCACTCGCAGCACGGCATGCCTCGCGCGCGTATCTATGCCGAGAGCAGCAGCGGCGATGTCACTGCACTGGATCACTGTACACAAAGACCAATCGTTGTTTTCTATATCATGTATTGTTATATAGTCGATCGCTGACCGCGTAATAGTAGAACGTCTCTGTCTGATGCAGGCGCGCGCGACACTCTGCACTCTGCACTCAGTGCGATTATGTATGTCTGTATATTGTTATTCACTTCGCGATCGCGCTACTCCCTGGCCTTAGGTGCTAGCAGGAAAATCACTCGTTCACTCGCGAGGACTCGACGAGAGGCCGATCGCTTCCGGCGATGCTTTTTATTCAACAAAAACTTTTCGGGCGAAAAATTTCGCGAGATGCACTTTTTATAATCTGTTTATGTATAGGTGTGCAACATCTACGTAGCACCTATATATATGTATATACACGATGCCTATAATGTGCTGCTCCGCGCGACGACTACGACGACTCGCTCGCACGAGCGACGAAACGGCAGCAGCGCAAAATCAACGGCTAATATCCTAACCCTGTTTATAATCCGTGATTCGCAGCGCCTCTATGCAACGATTTTCGCACACACGGGCACAAATACAAAACGCGATACGCTGCTGCGTGCTATTATGATATGGAGATGCGGAGTCGCGACGGAGAGAGAGAGAGAGAGAGGAGAGATGCGCGCTAAAATTGCAACCTCGCCCGAGCTTCGACGAGGGCAGCACCTGACGGCGTACACTTTCGCCGAGATTTTTTTTTATGTTGTTCGATATGAATCGCGATGCTCGGTGAATGCTGCTTCGTCACCGTTGTCGCATTTCCTCCTTATATTCTAACGTGTATAAGCGTTGAGAACTATTATGTTCTAATGGAAAAAAGTAAATAAATAAATGATATGATAAATAGAATGTTGATATTTTTTGACATGAAAAAAAAAGATCATTCAGTTGCGAGTAATAAAACCGTGTTTATTGTTACATGACTTCATGATTACTTAATAATTACTTCATAACAGTACAAATAAGAAATGTTCTGAAAAATTCATTACTTTCATTTTTTTTGTTAATGCACCGTACAAATTTAAATGACAAATCTCAACCAGCTGAGAAAGTTTGTATTCATTTTTATCTCGCTAACAAGATACTTATGAAACAAGAGTATCATTACAGTTTGTTCTTTAGTAGGAATACTCTTAGTTAATATTTACACCAGAACTATTTTCAATGAGCCTGAAAATTTCTTCTATCCTATGTAAAAAAATAGTTTAACCGTGGAAATGAATTATTTCATTTTTATGGAGCTGTAAAAAAGTTGTTTACATCTAACAATCACAGCTTTTCTTCCATATTATTACTCCTTCAACGTGATCAATGTACAAAATATTTACAAACTTAAAATGATACAAGAATAAAAATTCAAGAAGTCCAGTTGATATAAATTTTTCCAATGAACTATTCATCTGAAGGCACTGAATGCACAGCTTGATGGTTTTTTAAGATGTCAATTCTGAAATCTTTTGTTTATACATTTCAACTTCTGCTTCTTTTTCCTTCAATTTTTCTCTGAATTCCTCAACTTCTCTTTGACTTTTAATTAATTTCTGATTCCACTCTTCTAATTCTGCACTGTAATCTGGACTGTTTATCTCTATGACGTCTTCATTACTATTATTTACTTCTAAGTAAAGAGGTTCTGCAGCATGAGCAGACAAAAATTTCTAAAATTCAGAAAAATAAGTGTTTACAAAAATTGAAAAAATAGATTTATATCAAATTTTATTGTAGTTAAACTCACCTTATTGAATGATTTGTTATTATTAGTGATTTTAATGGTTGGTATAGAAGTGGCATCAATGTATATTTTTCCATTATTCTTATCAACACTAGCTTTCTTTAAAATGTTGGGTTTAGTGCTCTGAGTCATATTGGATTGCCCAAGAAATCGATTTGCACTTATTGTAATGTATTTGTTATTTTTTTTAGAAACCGGTATTTGTTTCAAAGTATTCACATTCACATTTTGTGCTTTAGTCAAACTTAAAGCACGTTTTCCTGCCTCTGTAATTTGAAGTAATCAATTTAAATCCATGAGTATAATACAATTATTTAATAAAAATAAAAGTATCAAAAATTTTATTGTTACCTGTAAGAATAACAGTTTGGCCACTTTCCATGGCATTTTCAACAATTGTACTTTCATTATCCATTGCCATCATTGTAAAACCATGGTTTTGTAAAAATTGCAATTGATCAGTTTCAATGTGATTTAGTAAATCTTTATCATTTCCTAACATTTGAACATCTTCATTCATGTAACTTGCTTCATTTGATGGTGTATGAACTTTTTGAATAAATATCTTATTTTTACTACTACTAACGTTTGCTAAAAATCATAAATGAAAATTTGTTGAAGCACTTTGTTTACATTTAATTAGTTACATATTATAAATACTTACGTTGAATGATCTTTCGTTTTGTTGCTTGTTTTAGCTGCTTTTCTTGTTTTAAAAGTTTTTGGTGTTGTTTTATTACTTGTTGATGTTGTCGTTGTAGTTGCTGCTGTTGTTGCTGTTGAACATACATCTGATCTTGCTGAAACTGCTGTTGTTGTTGTTGTAGCTGCTCTATCAAATCTAATTGATTTATTTCTTCAAACTTGATATAATCATCAGAACTTTGTCCTTCAGAATTCATGTATTGTTGTTCATTATTTACATCATCAGTTTGTTTAACTACTTGTCGATCTTGTTGCATGATATCAACCAAATCCATTTTTTTTTGTTCAAGGGCAAGGGTAATTGGAGTTTTGTGGAATTTACTTAAACTATAAGGGTCTGCACCATGATCAAGTAATAGAATCATAACATCAATATGCCCTTGCTCCACGGACCAATGTAATGGAGTCATTTTAAGCTAAAAATATTTAGCATTTGATTAATTTTTCAATCAATTTAAAGTTTAGTTGATTTAATGTAGTTTAAATGTTGCTAGTTACCATATCCTTGCAATCAACTTCTGCCCCATAACTCAGGAGTAATTCAACCATTTCTAAATGACCTTCATATGCAGCCATGTGTAATGGTGTTTTGTCAACTTTGGTTTTTGAGTCTTTAGAAATTCCTGCTCTCAACAATACTTCAGCTGTTTCAGTATGATTGTTTTGAGCAGCTAAATGCAATGCACTTGTTCCTAACTAATATTAAAAAATTAAAATAAGTATAACGTAAATTGCACAGGAAATATGAAACTGATTGAGAAAAAGTACTCACCCAATCACAAGTAAACGGTGCCCCCCTGCACATTAGATCTCTCACTGCTTCTGTGTCTCCCATTTTAGCATTATTTAGTAATTGTTTACCCAATTCAACAATTGATGTACCATCTCTAACAGGTAATGCTTGTGTGAAAAGTTCAACAGGGGAGTAGAAAGTGGAGTCTGTTGCATCGAGGTACAAGGTTTTTATGTCAGTGGCCATCATAATTTATTTATCATATAGCAGGTTGTGTGCCAATTTGGTAATCTGAATAATAGAATAAAATTCCTATAGTGAGTTTAAAGATGAATGATGGAATGTTCAAAACTTTTTAAATGTTCTTAGTATCATACAATTCAAAAATAGTCATGTCATTTTTTCATTAATTGAAAATATGTATTAATATTCGTTTACTTCTAACTAAATACGAGTAGTCAATGCTAGAGTAATCAGCATGTTTTCATTTTTGATGTTTGACATTTTGATAAAATCAATTAGGTAAAATCACGCTAGCCTCTCCGAGTTTGACACCTAATGAATGTACACAACAACAGATACAGGTAGTCATCGTCGAGCGCGTTATTTTCTGTTCCGCTCGCGGAGGCAGAGTCAAAAGTCGGACACGGAAGTGAATCGCGTATCGCGGATTTACGTTATTAATGACAATCCGAACATCGGGGAGTGCACTTCCTCTCCCCGGTGCACACGGTAGTACAGGTCGGAGCCACGTGCTTCCTTAGCGGGAAACTTTTCTGTCGATCAACGCTGCTCCCTCGACTCCTCTCACCTGTCGTACTGTCGCGACTTTCAACTGTCAGCGAGACGTCTCCCGCACGATCATCAACACGACTTTTCTCTGTCGACCACTCGCTGCTGTCGCGCAAAATAACAAATCCATGCGAGCTCCGCGAGGCACTACTTTCTTTGTTGCCGAATTTCGGAATTGACTTTGACGCTTTTGTATGTGTATATGGTGCTGCGGCCTGCGTCCTGCGTACAGTATTATATTCCGTAAACTAGCGTCGGCGTGTGCTCGAGGCACACAAAAAAAACATAACCCCTGCGCTGTATGGGTAGATTTGGCATGATGCAGTGATTCTGTAGTTCATCCAAGGAGCGCGGCCGATATGCATAGTTAGGTAGTGACCGTAAAGGCTGCTTCGTTGTTAGAAATATGTACTTGACGATAAGAATCTTTTGAAATAGATTCGACATTTGTTATTCATGAAATTGTTAATCTATTCGCCGATTATTTTTTATAAAGTCTATTTTGTAGACGAGCGCGTCGTGTTACAACAACGCGGGATATTTGAACTCTGACATTAAACTTGAATATTAAAGTAAGCCTCAATTTGGTAAAAATAAATAATACATTCGATTGCTGTTGTTTATAATTGAATTTATTTAACAAGTCTGATTTAAGCGAATAATTTCTCTTCTTTGCGTGTTTTAGTAGCCAATTGACCAGGTTTATGTTGAGCATCTGGATGGTTCAGCAACTCCTTTGGACATTTGGAGATGGGGCTGGATAAAATGATTTGTTTCAAATCATAAAAAAGATGGCTATCGTCCTTGGTACAGAACGATATGGCAATACCAGCTTTGCCAGCGCGACCAGTTCTTCCAACTCGATGTGTGTAATCTAAAATTATTATTTGTTTATTTCATTATAGATGTTTTGTGCATGCATATTATCATATCATATAATTTTAAACAACTTATCTAATTACCTTCAATAGTTCTGGCCATATCGTAATTAATGACTGTTGATACATCTTTTATATCAATACCACGACCAGCAACATCAGTGGCAACTAAAATATCTTTACTTCCATTTTTAAGTGAGGCAAGAGCATATTCTCTCTGCTCTTGAACCTTTCCGCCATGAAGTGTGCATGCATTGTACTGAAATTAATTAATGACTTTATAGATTAAATGAAAATAGTAATGTTAATCTGAACTCTGAAAGTCTTAATGAACTTACACCACACTTCTCAATCCATTTAACAAGAACATCAGCACTTTTCTTTTGATTAACAAAAATAATAATTGGTGGTTCAAAACCTCGACCGAGAATGTCCATAAGTTTTTTACGTTTATCACCCTCACCCATTATATGAATGATTTGTTCCGTTCTCTCAGTAGGTTTCCCAATGCTTCCAATATACACAACTGCTGGCCTTCTAAGATATGTTTTAGCCAATCTCTCTACAGCTGGTGGCATTGTAGCTGTAAACATCACAGTTTGTCGATATTTATTTTTGGACTTGAGATTTTCTAAGAGTTTGTCTTCATCTTCAGCATCTTCAGTGTCAGGCTTGAGATTAGTAACTGGCATGTACTCTAAAATTGTTTGCACATAAGGTTCCATTCCCATATCTATCATTCTATCTGCTTCATCAAGAACAATATATGTGCATTGATTAAGTACCAAGTATCGATTTTCAAGCACATCAATTAGTCTTCCAGGTGTTGCAATTACAATCTGTAAAATATTATTTTATTGAATAATTTTATTATTAAACGATACCAATTTTCAATCAACTCTCTGTTCATTGTTTATTAACGAATAAAAATTTTAGTCATAATTAAATAGATTACCTCACAACCCTTAAATAATTTCAACCCTTGTTCTTCTCGCAGTAGACCACCAACAACAAGAACAGTTCTTATTCCTAATGGTTCGCCAAATTTATTAGCTTCTTCTTCTATCTGTTGCGCCAATTCACTAAAAGTATACAATAAGTTATTATGAATTTAGGAAATCACCAAAATAGAAATGATATTTTTTACAGTACCGTGTAGGAGCCATAATAATACTATATGGGCCTTGATCTGCTTCCTCATTTCTTTCTTTTTTTGGAAGGCTATTTATCCAAAGAAGAAGTGGAATCAGAAAAGCTAATGTTTTACCTGATCCAGTTTCAGCAACCCCAATAATATCACGATTTTGCATTCCAATTGGAATAGCTTGTCTTTGAATGGGAGTAAGATCTTTATAACCAACCTGGTCAATAATATTCAAAATTTCTGAAGGGAGACCAGATTCTTTCCACGATCGAATTGGATTTGGAATTCTATCTCCTTTAACGGTAATATTATTATCCTCTTTGAAAATTCGCCAGTCTCTTTTAGTCATTTCACTCAGAGCTTTATCTGACCAATGACGTTCATCCCACTGTTGTTTGTCTTCTTTATTTTGTACTTTTTTCAAACGCACTCTGAAAAAAAAGTAATTATTCAGTAATGTAATTAAACTAATTGAGGAACGTTCCTACATTTCTTGTTCTTTCTCAGCTTGAGATCTCCTTTTATCTAACAATTTACCATAAAATTTACTTTGATCTCGCTTCTGAGCATTAATGTCTATACCTGCCAAATTTCCTTTACCAAAAAATTGCACTTGATGTCGTTCTTTATAAATATTATTATAATCTATGGATGTGTCTTCTGATGCATCCCAATCGAATACAAATTTTTTATCGCTCAACCTTCGAACTCTGCGTTTTTTCTTTTCTAATCCTAAGTATCTTTCCTTTATAGCCTCCATTTCTTTTGCTTTATCTTTATCGTCTCCCTCACATGTTTTTTTATTTTCTCTGCGCCTGTAAACACAATAGAATGTACAATTTTTGAAATCAAGAGATATTGATGAAAAGCTTTACCTTTCTCTGTTGTTCCAATCTTGATCATGATGTAAATTATGTCCATCATTGATAGATAAATTACTCTTTTGTTCCTTCTGTTGTTTTCTCAACGCATCAACTTCATCTTGACGCTTTTGCAATGCCACAGCAGCTCGCTCTTGTTTAGAAATAAATTTAGGCTTAAAAAGAGCCTCTTCTTCTGCTTTTTTTCTGTTCAATAGATCTTCCAAACTTAGTGGTTCCCTTTTTACTATTGGCCTAGGACTATCTTCATGAACTGGCTCATCTTCATTAATAGTCTTAGGTTCTTTTTTATCATCAACAGCTTTGGAACTGGTTCTGGACTTTTTTCTATCCTCGTTGCTTTTTCTTCTATCGCTTTCTTTAGATCTAAAGCGTTTGCTACCTTTTTGCCCGTCCCTGGATCTACTTCGCTCTCTGTAATGTTGATCTGCGTGGCGTTTACGGTCTCCATCCAAATCTGATCTTCGAGATCTACTTGTCTGACTTGACCTTTTATCTTGACTCATGTTCATTTTCAGCCCTATGTAAAAAGCGATGCATTTTTTAAGTTACTAATCATGTATATCTAAACTGTTAAATAATTCGAAAAATACACTACTTACGTATTTATGGTTATAACCAGTGAAATTTGAAAATAAATATAAATCGCGAATCTATCAATAATTGTATTTCTCGATTCAAGTAATTCTTGGTAATCACAACACGGCAGACTTATCGCAATGATTGAAACAGCTCATAAAATATCGTAGACTGGCACATAGACAATCTAGAACAACAATATGCGACGCGATCTCGGTAGCAGAAGCTTTAGGTGAAGATCGGCGATAATACACAGAGGCGCAACGTCGCGAGCGCCAGCTGCGATTGACAGCGCGCGAACATTACTTGCGGTCTTCCGTCGAATTGATGCAGTTTTCTCCTCTTCATTTGAAATATGAGTCGATCTATGCTCACGGGCGATTATTCATCTCTTTCGATTCTTTGTTAATCTCTTTTTAATGACCGAAAATAAATAGTCCGAGCGCCAGCTATGGGTCGAGTATGCATTTTCAGGTCCATAAGGTAACCAAGGCTTTTTATAGGTTTTTTGGTGTGCTGAATCGATTGAGCTTGGGTGCCAAGCGTTAAAATTAATACTCTAAAAGTTATCAACAAATTCATTGTTTATAACTTAAAAAATTTGTTTAAATAAATCTGAAAAAATTCACACGTATTCTTTGACTAATTCTAAGAATTTTTTGTTCTTCGCATTTTTTCGTCAGAGACGCTCCTCACCGAGTTAGAAAATCGTAAAGTTGTTTTTATACGCACGAATTTGTTTAGAAACCAATCATATTTTTAATCTTTGCGATTTTCTAACTCGGTAAGGAATGTCTCAAACGAAAAAATGCAAAGAACAAAAAAGTCTTAGAATTAGTCAAAGAATACGAGTTTTTTGAACAATAAATTTTTTGATAACTTTTAAAGTATTAATTTTAACGCTTGGCACCCAAGCTCAATCTATTCAGTACACCAAAAAACCTATAAAAAGCCTTGGTTACCTTGTGGACCTGAAAATGCATACTCGACCCATAGCTGGCGCCCGGACTAAAGCATGTTTTTTTAAAATGTCGACAATCGAATGAGAAATGCAGTGCTTTTGACAGTAAACATCGCTATTTTGACTTTCATTTTTTATCAATTCCAAATTGTCCAACTTGCAATCCTTGATGAAAGCTCGAATCAATGATCACGTATACATTATATATTTTACTGTACACGATCGCGGCCGGGTCAATTGCAATGTGAACTCTGTTAAATGGCGCCGGAGGCCATGTCCAAATGGTTTTCGTTTGTACGTAATTTATACGCATTAAAGCGGGGCGAGGGTGGAGAGGGAGGGTCGAGGTGTAAAACAGTCGCTATTTAACCATTCTACGTTTTACTTATTCATGAAGTATTACGTAATGTATACATCGTCGCACGTCTTTTTTTTATTACACACACGCTTTATAAGACCTACAATATAATGTACAACCCTATACGTGCCTTTTAAAGGACGAACTAGGGTACGGTCAGGCAGCCGTGTATTATGCATATGTAAGAGGTGTTAAGCATAAATCTCGTATACACACACACACACACACACACACACACACACACACACACACACACACATATTGCGAATTATGGTGCATCCACCCACACACGTTCTACGTGCGCGACACCGTGTGCCCGACTTTTGCCCGCAACAAATTAAAAATGAACTCGGTGAACGGGATTACGATATAAAAAACGGGCATCCAGGGTATTTAAATTTTTCATATTTCCTCCTCGTAGAGCAAAAATCTTTTTGCGCGGATCGACTTATAATACATAGGATTCGGTTTTATCCGGTCAGCTGCACACGGGCTTTTTGTCGCGCCGCGTTCTTTTTACGAGATTGCCTGTGTGTGGTAGTAGTATATAGTATAGTAGTAAGTAAATCCAAACGAAAAAAGGCAACATCAAATAAACATAAACTTGTGCACGCGCTGCTGCGATTTGCTGCGTTTGACCTCTTGGTCCAATTGGATACGCTATTATAATATCCCGAGAAAAGGCATTTACGTTGCTCATAATGATCGTATATGGATCAAAATAATACTTTTTTACAAAACCGTGCGCACGTATGTCACCGATCTTGACGCGCTTTCGGTATGTTATAGCACATGGTAAAAAAGTCCCAGAACCAAAATTTTAGACCCCCTCCCCCCTCCTACCCTCCATCCCTATAAACGTCCATTTTCGATCTATATTTTTTCTGAGGACATGAAGTAATTAAAAAATCTGAAAAAATTCATAAAAATACTTTTCAACAATCCAAACAACCTTGAATTTTTTCAGATTTTTTGAGTGCTTCAGGCCTTCAGAAAAAATTATTGAAAATTTCAAAAATCGAGATATGGCGGTATGAGCCGATGTAGTAAACGAAAATTTTTTCAGTTTTTTATCGCATTGAAAATCATTACCTCAATTTTTTTCAGATTTTTTCAGATTACCTAACGCACCTTTTGAAGCCAAAAACCGATTTTTTTGACGAAAATAATTTTTTTAGAGCGATACGGAGCCTCGAAAAATCTGAAAAAAATTTTTTCTTGTTTTTCTCATCAAAATACGTAATCCCAATTTTTTCAGATTTTTTAATTGAAGGCGATAGCTTCTAGGGCCGAAAAATGCTATTTTTAACAAAAAATGGTTCCTAGAACCCGGTGGTTCCGGTGAAAAAATTTGAAAATATTTTTTTTGAATTCCTTGTCAAATTTTAATAAATTTTGACCGGTTCAAAAGTTCGATTGAAGCCTCCTAGCTCAATGTAGAGCATGAAACTAGTTTTATCATTCCTTAATGTCTTCAGAAACGTCTACAAATATTTTGCACTAATCTTTGTCCTGCTCTAGAATGAGCTTGGCACTCTTCGCATTCTCTCTTAGCATTCTTCGGCCCTGAAAGCTATCGCCTGCAATTAAAAAATCTGAAAAAATTTGAGGTTATGTATTTTGATGAAACAAACGAGAAAAAAATTTTTCCAGATTTTTCGAGGCTCCGTACCGTCCTAAAAAAATTATTTTCGTTAAAAAAAGCGTTTTTTTTTGACTCAAAAAGTGCGTTAGGTCATCTGAAAAAATCTGAAAAAAATTGAGGTAATGATTTTCAATGCGATAAAAAACTGAAAAAATTTTCGTTTACTACATCGGCTCATACCGCCATATCTCGATTTTTGAAATTTTCAATAATTTTTTCTGAAGGCCTGAAGCACTCAAAAAATCTGAAAAAATTCAAGGTTGTTTGGATTGTTGAAAAGTATTTTTATGAATTTTTTCAGATTTTTTAATTACTTCATGTCCTCAGAAAAAATATAGATCGAAAATGGACGTTTATACCGGAAGTGGGGGGTAGGAGGGGGAAGGGGGTCTAAAATTTCGTTTTTGGGACCTATTTACCATGTACTATAACATACCAAAAGCGCGTCAAGATCGGTGACATACGTGCGCACGGTTTTGTAAAAAAGTATTATTTTGACCGATATATAAATGCATACATACGCGCGTGTACACAAGTTTCCAACGGGGTAGGTGGTTGTTGGTGGCGTGGTCGGTGGCGCACCCACGAGGTGAAAACTGAATGCTCTCCCCCATTGTCGTAATTATCATTATTTCATCAGCTCGTATTCATTTGGAATGAGTATAATAATGTAATAATGATGATATCGTGTGCAGCTGCAGCAGTGGCGATGACGCTCTGCAGAGGCTAATCTATAAAACATGCACACATTTTACATACAAAACAACGGGGTTTATATACTTGAAATTTGCATGAAAACGACGCACATACACGGATTTAGCGTGAGGGATAAACAAGTTTATTAGATGCATGTATAACGACGAAAATGTCGCCGCGACGGCGACGACGATAACGATTTTTTTATTATGTACACAAGCTCGCGCGCGCGCTATACAAATTTAATCAATGTTTGCCTTCTATGGTCCAAAGGTGTGCGGCACACACGGGAAGCTCAACGTCGAAAATTGCTTATGTATCAACTGTAAAGAAATATATACACATCTTCAAAGTGACGGTAATTCCGTTGAGCAAATTTACTCAAGCTCCTCTTTATCGCGCGAGCGCGCGCGTACAATGAATATTTTGTATAATCTCCAAGCTCGCAGTTTAAAAATATCGTTCTACACAATGTGTAAAATAAAATCCAACCCTCATGAAATGTACAGGAAACTTTTAGCGACGTTCACTTCTTCGCTTTGGGCTGACGCTTAGATCCTACGGCTTGTAGGGGCCCAATTTGTGCCTGACCATACAGCCGCAGGCCGGCAGGGCGCATTTCTGACGGTGCCCCTGAGATCGGCAAGCTTTTTAATACGTAATGTTTATTTACGTACGAACCCGACAACATCTTGTAACGAACTCACACGTGTGATAGACGTATCGTTCAGAAGTAATCCTCTTTTACAAAAAAAAATACTTCTCGCGATGCGTGATGACAAAAAAAAAAGATTTTTCCCCACTCTAACCTAAAATACGCAACTTTGCCGCTAATTTTAGGCTCTCGTAGGAAAAAATAGTATCTCAAACTGGTGCAGATATGGTTTTTTAACAAAACTCGTTACAGCACTCGCCTTCGGCTCGTGCTATAATCCCTCGTTTTGCTAAAAAATCATATGTGCACCCGTTGAGAAATATACTATTTCCGCCTCGTCATCTTACACGTACGAAGTCGATTTTCTTCCGCCTCCTGCCGTGGCTAGCACACACACACACACGGCAATTTGTCGCGTTTTCAAAATTCTGCTCTCACCTGCATCTATGTCCACGAAAACTCGCGTCTGCAGAAAATTTGCTTGATGTTGATATTGTAAACGCGATTTATATACAAAAAAAAGACCGCTAGATGTGTTTGAAGTATTAATATAGGAGTTGCTATCGTGATTTTATGGAGGAATTCGAAGTGCATAAAATGCAGGTATTAAAAATATTTCATTCTCTCTTAAAAAGCAGCTTATATCTAGAAATTCGGACTAAAATTTCTCTATACATCATGTCTATAGTGTATTAGTACGGGTTATATTACGTCTAGCGTGACATGCCGAAAAATTTAATAAAAACTAGATACATAATTTTAGAGAGTACATAGAAATATTATAATTATCAATATTTTTTCAGTAAAACAATCAAAACTTATTTGCTTAAACTCATTTATTTAGATTTAAAAAAAAAATATGCAAATTTAACATCTATATAACACCAAACATAATCAAAAGTTACTGCAAGTGTACTAATGAGGTTTAGAGCTTTGGAGTGTAGCTGTCCAGCAAATGTGATATAAATCTTCGTTCGTCAGCTGCTCAAGGATCATTTCGCAGATCTCCAGTGGTAATCGTTTGTGAATCAACTCCCAGAAAGGATCCAGAGCCCAGTGCAGAAAAAATCCTCTTGATAATTTCTCACACAGATGCAAATCACAAGGTTCACGATAATTTTCGAATAAATAGGAACCCAACCGGAACTTCCAGTAGTCTGTATACGTGAGTAGTTTTTCCGCCTTTTCGGGTCGTAGCCGAGTCAGATCGTAGAGCGACACACTCGGACTTATCATCTTTTTTTTTATGTCTACTATAAATGCCACCTTCTTCCCCTCATCATACCAACCAGACTTTTTGAGTTCGTCCGACTTCTCGAACAATCCATATTTTTCGAAAAATTTCATAACCGTCAGGACGTCGCTCCGATCCAATTGATACCCTCTTTTCACTATGAGCTCGACAACAGCCAGAGCTCTAGAAGCTAGGGGGAATCGATCTCCATATTTTATGTATGTCTCATAGTCCCACGAATTAAATCTTTCGGCGAAATAGTTTTCAGTGGGAAAAACGAAATTGGACAGATCAGCGCCATGTTCGAAGAGAATATCGATGCCATCTGGCCAGAGATTGGCCACGGCCCATTGAAGCGGTGTCCGACCCAAATTATCTTTAGCGTCGACCATTACAAGCTGCTGTTTTTCGTCGCAGATCTTGAAGAATAGATCAATCGTACTCGAATCCGAACTCAGAAACTGCCGATGGTAGAAATGATGCAGAGCTGTCCATCCCTCCTCGTTGGCCAAGTTCGGATTGGCGCCTTTCCTCAACAGAAATTCAATCATTACCTTGTTTACCCGTTTCGCGGCCACATGTAGCGGTGTGTTGCCCAACTTATCTCGGGCGTCGATCTGCACTGGTTGGTATTTTTCGTTGTTGAGCTCGAATAACGTCTTCGCCAAGTTATGAGCAAAGTAAGTCTTCGTACCAATGTTTGAATAAGTAATCCATGTATTCTGGCAAATCATGTGCAGAGGCGTCGACCCGTCCTTGTTGACTAAATTCGGATCAAAATCTATTCTACGTAGCAATTCGACTATCATATTCTTTCCATGTTTCAGAGCCAAGAACAGCGGCGGATCAAATGAGCTCGATTTTTCAAGAAGACAATTGGGGTCATGTCCAAGTTCAAAAAATTTTTTGATGGCATCGTCACAGCCAAACTCGCAGGCCACACGAAAATGCGTATGTCCGAACTCGTCGGTGTAATTCACGTCGCATTGGTCATATACTCTAAAAAGGTCGACGACGACACCCCTGTGCCCGAGTCTAGCCGCATGATGCACTGGTGTAGTGCGACGCGACGATATCTTGCCGTCTTCATCAACTTCGGGCTTATGCTTGTAGCCGACGAAAGACGCGAAGTCGATGAACCAACAAAGATCCATGTCAAATGGCTTGCCTTTAAGATTATTAATGGAATCCAAAAGAAGACACTCAATTTCTTCGATCGGACAAACCTCCTGGAGAGTAGAATGTAAGTCACACCAACGAGATTTTAAAGGTTCAATTTTTCGGAGAAATTCGTGTCGCTCGCCTTCAACCTCCCAATTGATATTTTTTCGCCAGCTCTTCAATTTTTCTATTCTTTGTTGCCTATCCAAATTTTCAACGGATTCGTCGTCGGACGTGGACATTTTTCTGCCCTCTCACACACAGCACACAATTGTTTGTAATTTAGAATATTTTTTAATTTTTTCACAAAAATTACTCGATGAAAACGACACGATTTTTTTCTGTTCACGCTGCGGCGTCGTAACCTGTACTGAAATTACATGCACCACGATCTGTATAGAAAGTAAGAACACATGGTCGCAGCTACGAGAGATTCAATTAAAGTAGCGCAAGCTATGTACAGTTATTGGAAGTAAAATACGTAGTGGAGGCTGCTCGCTTCTCGCTGGATTTACACTTTCTAATCATTACCGAATTCAAAGAGACTCTGACTTCACATGTGGTAAAACAAGAGGAAACAAACGCAGTGAGATAGAAAGAGAGGTGCCAGAGTTTGAGAGACAACTTGGATACATAATATTACATAATGTAATGTACAGGAAACTTTTAGCGACGTTCACTTCTTCGCTTTGGGCTGACGCTTGCGGCCGCGTCGATCCTCCGGCCTGTAGGGGCCCAATTTGTGCCTGACCATGCAGCCGCGCCACCAGGCCTGTATCCTCAGGGCGCATCTCTGGCGGTGGGCCTCGTGCTGCAACCTCCTTCGCTCGGCCTCGTTCTCGGCTTCGCACAAATCGATGAATTCCTGCCTCTGCTGGTACTGCGCAAATAATCGGGGATAATTATATTGTTAATAATCAGCTTCATTGATTCCGGCGACGATATAGTGCTCTTATTAATTTCAATTTGCTTTGCATACAGTATATGAAATAAAAGATAATTTGATCCGTTCAGTCTAGATTAATCCTTGAGACTCGCAATATATAGTGCATTATTTCAAAAGTGTGATATTTGGAGTGGGTAAAATGGGCAATATTGGAAAAATTGAAAAACTTATTTTCTTCTATTTTGAGTTTAATTTTTCCGGACCCCCGTAGTTTCTGACACTTGATTCTTTGTTTTTTCATGGAATATTTACATTTTGCCGGTCATCATCTAATCCGTTTATTTTCTTATTGCAAACATGAAAATTTGTCACGGAGGGGACACTCTCGGAGGGGACAAATCGCACTTTTATCAAATTTCACGACGACAACAAAGTTGAAAATTTTTTTTCCGATCACGCACAAAAATTGTTTGTAAAGACGAACGTTTTTACGCCCCCAGATTCAAAAATAAAAAGTGCTGGCTCAAAAACTCGTCGATCACGGAGGGGACACTTTATATTACTAGTACGATTTTCGTGTGCAAGTATTGTTATAGCGAAGCTGCAACTAAGATTTGAATATTCTACGGGTAAAAATCGAGTACCTTAGTTCTGAAAGATGACCCTTGTATAGTTGGAAAGGTCAAAATTATAGCACGTTTACTGGCACTATATTTGTAATGATGTAAAATTTCACATAATTTAAGGACACATTTGTAACTTATGTACAATTGTTTTGAGACTATTTAAGATGACGAGTCATACAAAAAAACTTTCTTTAGGAAGTATAGAATAAGGCCCATGTATCACAATATTGCTGGATATTTGTAAAAATATTTTTAATGAGTGAAAACAATCGATTCTGAGTTCAGGACAGGCGGAGGGGACATTTTGTGTGTTTATCCGGCTGGCGAATCAATTTGGTCTTTTTTGATGGAAATTTTATAGTTGCGGAAGGTAAAATTCGGTAAAATAAAAGGTTCTACCGTCTTAGTTTTCATTTTTTTAATGTTTTCTAACAGCTACAATAACAAGACATGTCATATCACGCTTTTGAAATAATGCACCATATACACAACTAAAACGATATATCCTATTATACAGTGCGACATCGAGCGCGATCGCCAATTTATACATTCGAAGATCTATTATTTACCGGGCGCAAACAGCAAGTAGTTAGTAGGATCGCAACCAGCTCTAGGCACAGAGAGACCGAAACTTTAGCAGCTTGCTTGAACTTCGAGTCACCACCACCGCATTGGTATACAGCGTAAAGGTTGCCGCTGATGCTGCCAATACCAGTTTAGCGCCGCGGCGGCGGTGTTCATATTTTAACGCCCTCGTGCGCGCTTTAGAGTACTCACCAGTGTAGCTTCACTGGAGCTGGGGACGATGTGCCGCGTATACACAAAGATACCATCGCCACGAACGACGAAGATACACGTCCTATACGTATTTATGCATGTATAAATACGGAGCTCGACGCAGGGGATGTAATATTAGCCGGGCTAACGCGCACACACCCACACACACACACACACGGGCGCAGAAAGAAGAGGAGATCGAGTTTGCGCCTCGTTAGAGGTATAATTAAATTAGTTTTGGCGCGTGGTACTACCTTATAATATACAGCGCGCCGCACACTCGCTCGCCCGACGACGACGACGACGACGACGACGACGAGCACTGCGCTGCGCTCTGTGTGCAACTCGCTGCTGTGTGCAATGCACTATTCATACAGCTGTACATGTACGCGTTATATATATATATACGTACATATACGTACTATACGTGGCTTCTCGTTTCCATTCATTAATAAATACCTTTATGCGCGCGTGCGGAATCCACTGTGTAAGCTCGCAAGCTTCCATCTCTCCGTGTGTGCGTGTGGGTGCGAGCGTTTCTGTTTTGTTGTTGTCTTTGAATCGCGCGCTTTTCATTATAATTATGTAACGGATGGACGGTACACGCGATGTGTGCGAAAAAAAAAGAAATATAGAGAGATTTTACGAGATTTTCGTATGCACGTGTTAGGCTGCGCTTGCTTATAACTAGCTTTGACTGGCAGCTCCGCTGCTGCTGCTTCAGGAACTTACCTCCAGCTGAAGTTGGGCTAATGCCGCGCGCTTCTGTTCAATCTCGTCCTGAAGCTTACGGATGTCCCTCTCGTAGACTTTGGTCTCAGTCCGGCGACGCTCAACCCAATTTTCCGAGTCGCGCTCGTTTTCCTGTGTGAATTTGCCAATTCAAAGGTCGGAGAGCGTGCATAGGCCGGAGAGGACTTGATTATTTTCGCGACACATTTAATTTTATAGAAGTTGCGATAAGATTAAAGAAAAAGGATCAGAAAAAACAACACGCCCAACACGCAAGAATTGAATCGCATCCTGTTTTTCTTGTTTCTTTTTCTTTGACGATAATTTACAATGCGGTCACCTCGATGCTGTCCTTTAAAAAGTCGACGATCTGCCGATTAACGAGGCGCTCGTTGCTCTCGCGCAGCCGGCACTCTTCCAGTTGGCTCCTGAGATCGGCCAGGGCCCACTCGGCCCCGAGCTGGCGCTGCTCGCGCGACGAGTCCAGCCACGCCTCGACGTACTCCGTCTCGGCTTTCGATTTGATTTCAAGCCGCTCCTTCTCATTCTGCGCAAACAGATCATCTTTGATTCTGCATTTATATTATTTTTACGTATATGAATGTTTATTTTATCGACACACGACCAAGTTGGCTCAAACGCATGCGAATCGATTTTCAGTCGCTCGACAAAAGTGAAAAAAGGTCTTTTGTGCCATTCGATCGAGCTACACACACACATACCTGTATAATATATAGAACCTACGCGCGCCAAGTCAACACACGAGCTCGCACACACGTCGAGCTTTTGGTACTTTGAAAGTTTAGAATTACGTCTGTGTACGCGCGCGCGCGTCGATCGATCCGAGCATGTCAGGCAGGCGCGCGCGACAGCTCAAACGCGCTTCAGTCGATGTGTATATCGACGTAAATGCATGCGTGCGCGGTCCAACGACCGAGAGAGAGGGAAAACGGATTATGTATATAACGCGCGTTAACGAGTCTAAAAAGACACTGCACCGCCGAGCGACAGTTCGCACGCGCGGTTGTCGCGCGTTTGCGGTTGCATTAGACGAAAGTTAAATGCGGTACGCGTTACGCGCGTGTGCACGTGCGAACGAAGTGTTGTGACAATTTTTATATGCACCGATCGAATTACTCGACGAGTGCGATGTACGACATATAGCGCCGTGAGAGTTGGAAAAGGTGCATCCGCGGAACATATCGCGATATATATATATATATGTACCGTTTTCGAAAAATCCAACGTTTCGAAACTTTTTTACGTACACCCGCTTGAACGTCGGATCGCTGCTATATACACGCGCGTATAAGTGGGTCAAGACTCTGCCAGAGCCGCCGCTCGCTCGCGCTCTTTGCGGGAGCTTTTGTTTACCGCGCGGCGCGATTGGCATTTTGACAGTACTGGGACGTAGTAGACGTTTATATAGCTATATAGTCGCTTGAAGCGCGCAGAGAGCTGCTCGCGCGAATTCTGCCACACGCGTGCAAATTCTTCTTCTTCTTTTTTTTTTTTTTTTTTGATTCTTCAGATCGCGCTCGGTAATAACAATAACAATATTTGCGCGGAGTAAACAAACGACAATACGCATTCACCTTGATCGACGACGAACGTTTATCACACACGACGAAGCGCAATGCGCGCGTATGCATACGTGAATTATTAAAGCGATAACAATCTTAAACGATCTTCCTCTCTCGCTCGCTACATTCGTGCGTGAGCCATTGGACTCGCAACGCGCAACGCAAGCCGATGTGTGCGTGTGTGTGTACATTTATTATTAAGCAACTTGGACGCGGTCGTTCGCATACACCGACGACGCGTTTATTAGACGTACGAGACGTCGTGGTCGTCGTTGCAACAGAGCAGCAGCAGTTCGTCCGGTATTATCCACTTGTGCGGATGTCAGTCGGTCGTTTGAATAAAGTGAACGCGAGTGTCTTGATTTGACTCTTTCTTTTCGCTATCTCGTTTGTATTTTCATCTCGAGTATAATAGTACGTAATTACAAACGATCGGCGTTTGTTTGTCTATACGCAACTCGACGCGATGGCAAACGAGGCGTGATTTATCATCGAATTTTAATTAGCTTTCGCATTATACGCGGCTTGTTTGCCTTTCATCGCGCGCGTGTCTATATAGATGTAACTCAAAGGTCGCGCGGCGCGTTACAAGAACCGATGCATCGTGTGAGTTCAACGCTGTCACATAAAGAGAAAAAAAGGCGATACAGCTGATTGCGCGGTATAAATTCGAGGCCCGATCGACCCCGCAAAAACAGAAAAAAGTACATCTAATACGCCAGCATGCCGGCACCCGAGGGATTCAAGCTGCAGCTGGTCCAAGTCGTAAGTTATAACACGATCTCGTCGACGTTACATTCGCGACGATGCTTTGTGTTTTTCCGCGCGCGCGCGACTCTTACATACTCGCGGTTAATTCAATTTTGAAAAACAAATAAATCGCGCGTAATTCGTTGCGAGCATACGGAAATGCAGCAAAACGAGCTCGCGAAGCGATTAGAAGATATAGTTGCGAGGGAGGTCAACCGCGCGCGTTACAATAATAATAGTTTTATACGTGCATACATATTAAAAAAAAAAAAAAAAAAACTAGAAATCACCGGTTACGTTTATTTATAATATCGAAAAGTAAAACTTGGCTGTGCAGCTTTTCAGATACGGCGCGAGAACGTGCAGCGAGGAGGAGAGCTCACTGCTCGCCCACGAGATCGACGAGGCGTCCTCGCTCAACGAGACTCACGGCTACGAGCAGCTGACCAACGTGAGTCGCACGATTTGTCCAAATCCATACACGATCTAATGTTGAAAAAAAAAAAAATTCTCCATTTTCTTTTTATGTTTTTGTTTTTCTTGCAGCTCGGCAAGCTACAAGCCCACAAGCTCGGCAGCTGTCTGCGCGAGCGCTACGGCGACTTTCTCGGCTCGTCCTATCGTCCGTCGGACGTGCACGCGACGACCAGCGAGCACGACTCGACCAAGGTGACGACGCAGCTCTGCCTCGCGGGCTTGTATCCGCCCGCCTTCGAGAACATCTGGAACTCGGAGATCAGGAGCGTGCCCATACCGTATCACTGCGTGCCGCGCCGATTGGACGCGCTCCTTAAGGGCCCCGATTTGCCCAAGTATTATAGTAGTATACTCGCTTGGAAAGATATTTACGCGCGGAACGACGCGAATATATAATAGAAAATGTATGATGCTGCTGCAGGTACAGGAGAAGATTCAGGGAGGAGTCGAGCTGCAACGCAAAGATACGGAGCAAAGCCGCGGAGCTGATGGAAATGAACGAGCTCCTCGAGGACAAAGGCGTTCCGTCGCTGCAGCAGTCCGACTTTTTCGGATGGCTGAAAGTCTTCAACGCTCTATACGTTCACGTTGAGTATATCCCTCTCATATACATACATTGCTTACACACTCGAAATAATATGAAATTTCGTATCGGTTTATCTCGCGCCGCGCCGCCAACAGCAGAGAGCGGCGAGAAGCCGACTGCCCGATCTCTACACCAAGGAGCTGTTCGAGCAGCTGCAGAGACACGTCGAGGACATCTACGATCTCATGTCGCTGACGCCGGAGCTGCGCAAGCTCCAGGTGGGTCTGCTGCTCAAGCGCGTCCACGACAACGCGGCGCACCCGGCCAATCCGCGCAAGGTCTATCTGTTCTGCGCCGACGGGCCCGTGCTCGCGGCCTTTCTGCGATCGCACCGAGTCGATCGGGAGCTCAGGTGTCCGGGCTTCTGTAGCGCGGTGCTGCTGGAAAAATGGCTCGACGCCGACGATCGCGCACACGTGAGGGTATTTATTTGAAGCCTAACTTTTATAACGATGAAATTAATTTCTAGCGGTATATTTATAAGTGTTATTATTTTTTATGTTCAATTATCGCGCAACATCTATATAGATGCTGGTCACGAGCGGTCAGAGCGACCTGTTCAAAGTCGTGACGTTACGCGACAGCGGCGAAAATGGATTTTGCCGTTTCGAGGATTACAAGAGTCTCACGGAGGGCTTGTTCCCGAGCGACGAGGACGTCGACGAGATTCTCGCCGAGTCGGCGGTGAATTTGAAAAACTTACTGACCACGGATTACGTGCACTGTGCCGCGTCGACTAGCCAGCAGCCATCCGCTTGAACGATACACGTTGGGAAATGCAAAATTTTGCAGATTTAGCGGCGTCCATAAAGATACATCGATGTCGAATAAAAATTTACATGCATACCTCGATATATACGAAGAAGAAAAAAGGATAAGGAGAGAGAGAGAAAGAGAGAGAAAAAGTAGATAAAGAAAGAGAAGCTATAAGACGCACACATATATATGTATAGCAATATATAGTATGCACTCGCCTTGAGTTTGAAAAATTGAGCTTTCAAGCCTGCCTCGTGCTCGGCGCGGCTCTTGCGCGCCTCTTCGACCTCTTGCAATTTTAAATCCAATAGCTTCTGGCCCTCTCTCGCCCTCTCCAGCAAATCATCCTCGTTACTCTTTTCGGCCACTTTCTCGTCGACTTGGCTTATCAAAAGATCCAGGCTGCCTTTGATCATCAGCGAGTCTCTCGACGAGTGCATCAGCTCTTCTACCCATTGGCTGTGTTTGTGTATGTGTGTGTGTGCACCACCGGCGTTACATCGCGTAAGATGCAGATATGAAAAACAATTTGTTCGAATATTAAATTACGCTATTACCTTGTATAATGCCGAGTTTTACCTGTCGCGCACGAGCTTGTCGAAAATCATCTCGACGTAGGCCGCGTCGAAGGCCGCTTCCTCGTCCATCGCTCGTAAGGCAGATCTATACTAACATGCAACAATAAAAAATAGAATGATTTTGTTTCCCCGTCGATTAAATTTTGCACGTTCCATCAGAAAATCCGACCTTCCAGGACGACGACCGTCGACATTGGCAGCAGTGCTGGCGGCACGACGCTGCTGCTGCTGCTGAACGACGACGAGCGCGGGTCGACTCTTGAGACTGCGCCGATACACGGCCAACGCGTCGATGCACTCCTCGAGCACAGATAAGGCGGCTGCTCTCGCCGCGCCCCTAAGTGACATATCGCGTGAACTTCCTTTTCCTTTCCAAGTTTTTTTTTCTTTTTTTTTTTTTTTTTTTGAGCTCGTCTTCTTGTATTGGCCGTGTTATCGCACCCCGAGAGCTCGTACACACTATATATATATTATATATATGTGCCGTTGGTTTGCGATACGATACCCCGTGAACTTCTCTCTCGGCTGTCTGCACTCGTTGCTGCCGCCAAGATGGAAAAGCTTCGCGCGATCCGCAAGCCACGGCCCGATCTGTAATGCAGAGACCTGCATTATTTATGGTAAATATGTAAAAGGGCTCTCGCGATCGAGGGATATATATACGGTTTGTGCACCGTTCGAAATTGGATTGAATATTTCTGTATATATGCACACCGCCCTTTCAAGAGGAAAATTCGGTTTTTTTCTTTATTCATGTGTACCCAGAAAGGCATCAAGCCGCGCAGCAGCTGTAAATAAAGCGTTGAAAAAACTCGCTTTTGCTGAACAAACGAGGCGGCGCCTTTTACGAGCGATTAAAAATATACATCGAATTCGATAAAAATTCCAAAAAATATTTTCCATTTAATCGGCTTATTTGTGAATGCAATTTATTGAGTACCGAGACCGTTGACACCTGCATCAAAAGAACTTACAAAAAAAAAAAAACTGTGTGTACGTAAATATAAAAGTACCTTACTCGCGGTGGCGACTATATCGTGTAACGGTTTAGCCTGGGGAATATTGTTTTTCGCTCTTTCTCTCGCGCGGGCTCGGGTGCTATAAGCAGTATGTAGATTTGCATTGCCTCGCGGGGCGACTCTATTATACATGTGTGCAGTTAGGTTGCTGCTACTGCCGCCGCTGTGCAACCGTCGATTGAAAAAATATTTACTTCGGGCAGCTATTTTCAAGCTATCTGTACCGCAACAGTTTGAACGCAGAATAAAAAGAACGTTCGGCTCTCGAGCAGCCGTTAACGACTCACCTTTACATGTGTGTGTGTGTGTGTGTGTGTGTGTGTGTGTGTGTGTGTGAGTGTCGAGTGGATGCGGTGGCGGTGGCGGTTGGTACGTGTGCATCAACGGAGTTCGATTCGAGTGGCCGCCCCGCACGAATAGACGTTACACATATACATATAGGTTCGATACTCAGCGCAGGCACTCGCACAGACACGCATATATATGCTGCTATTCAGTTCGGAGATATGCAGAAGAGTCGATCCTGCAGTGGTACGTGTGTATATGCGTTAGTTGTATTATATAGATATATATAAGCGCGCGCGAAACGTGAGAATGTATCGAACCGCACTGAAGACCGTCTACGTGTGTACGATAATACAACGTGTTGTGTGTCCTCCTACCTGCTAAATAGTATGATACAGTGTTCGAAACGCGAACACGCGCGCGTGCGTTATATAGAGAATTCGAACGATAAAGCCATTGTGTCCGTTCGGAAATATTTATAATTTATCAGTGCGCGGTGGCGGCGGCCGCCGCCGGTGGAGAGAATTATAAACACGATGAGCAGCGGATGAGGTCGCGCGGTGCACTAAATACGACCGTCGCCCGCGGCAAGTTTGTTATTATATTGAGAGAGAGAAGATAATTGTGCACGTGTATTGTTTTGTGTATCGAGGGTGATCTGTGTGTATGTGCGTCGTCGTCGCGTTGGCGAAACGCAGAAAATTATAACGGAAGAAAGAGGCATCCGCATGTTTGATCGATATAATTTGCCGCCGCCGTCGCCAAGTTGCCGGAATTGCATGCTATACAAACAACGTGAGTATATAAAAGCGGACTTGCTATTTCATTATTCAATTTCAAAGATAAGATCATCTCTGCGATGCGCGCCTATCTGCTGCGAGACGAAATTCGTTCGGTCCGCGTGGCCAACTTGGCAAGCCTTTTCTCCGCGTTGGACGATGGACATCCGCGCGTGCATAACGTTTTTGCGTTTTGGAGCAGTTCTTCGAGTTAACCCATGATCCCTATAGGTCTCTCGTTCGATAGCGGCTATAATAAATCCACGCATTTTGATATAGAGAAAAAAAAGGCGGGAAACTGCACTACTACTGCTGCGTTTCCCCACATAGCGATGCGTGGAGCGCACGCAATATCAGCTTCGAGACGGAGCTCCGATTGAAAAAATGTTGATCTATAATGGAGACTCGCTCTAATGTATGCGAAGAATTTTAATTATAAAATGCGCCGTTGAAAGTTGCCCGCCTGAAACGAGTATAGAAAATAAACGAAGATGTGCAAAAAAAAAGAAGAAGACGGTTGCTTTCCAATGACCGTTAACGTTAATAACGCAGTTTGCGAACGCGCGCGCGAGAGTTCGTACTTCGAAAAAGTAAAGAAAAAAGAACCGTTATAACGCTTCGACAAAACGGTCGTCATCTCCCGATTCTTTCTTCCTCCTGACATACGATATACACTCGAGTTGTCGGCGGCGACACGGTGGCCGCAGAGAGAAAACTTGCAAAAAATATCAGCTTTTCGCGCTGTTGAAATATACCTATACATATGTTGTCGGAGTCGCGCGTCTGCGCAAAAACGGCGGCGCATACATACACACTCGAATATGCACTATGCACACACACAGTGGTAGTCGGTGCGTGTCCGTGCGCGAGAATACGAAACACACCCCATCTCGCGCCGGCGCCACGACAAACCACCTTTATCTCTTTCTCTTTCCCACTTTAGGGTCGCAGGCGCGCCAGCAAGTAACATATAGCGGTAGACTGCGCGCACACCCACTGCAGTCTCAGCATCAGCAGAAAGCAGCAGCGAGCAGTTACAGAGTGCAGTAGTGCATGTGTGAGTGAGTGCCAGAGAGTGTGGGGCAGCAGCAGAGGCTCGCGCGAGTAGCAGAAACTCGTGCCGCCGCGCTTGCGAGTTGCGAGTCCAGCAGCAGCAGCGCACTGTCCTGCTTTCTCACTCCGTCTCTCTCTCTATCCTTCTCTTTCCTCGATATATAACTTAGCGCCTGCGTTACGTGCAGCAAAATACAGTATCGTGTGTGTGTGCAGCTTCTCTCGCAGTAGTATATACGTATAGGCAGACACAATGTTCGCTGGTGGCTAAAAGGCACGCGCCCCTCGCAGTGTGGCACAGTTGTTCAGTCGCATCCCGGCAGGCAGAGTGCGATCGTTGTGCAGCAGCAGCAGCGGATCAGCAGCGCCGAGCGCTCGAGTGCTCCGACAGTTTGTTTGTTGTTATATCGTCGTTGCTGCCACTGCCGCCGTAATAAAAACAACCGATGACTTCGCTTCGACCAAACCGAGGGTGCGAGCAAAAATTAACAACGATGCTTTAGCGCACGAATAGCAACGGTTCTGGTGTAGCGTTACATATAGTGGAGTTGTTCCATCGCGAAGCAGCCAGCTGCAAGTCTGAAATTCCGCCGCTGTGCGCGCGTGATATATGTGCATGTGCTGCATGCAGCCCAGATAATATACACGTTGTAAGAATGGCACAGTGACACGGATGATTTTGAGTTAACTCGTTCGCCCCCCCCCTCCTCCCCCAACAAGTTGCGGTGTTGTTTTGTCGTTGTTGTTTTTTCTCGTTGACATCTTTAGTTTCGGCACGCGAGCGAAGAAACAAATGATGAAAAATCGGCGCGAGTGACATTGTTCGTTGCCGAAAAAAAAAAAAAAAACAACGAGAAAAGATCAAAACAAAGAATTATACATACTCGGAAGTGCGCGCGTGTTGCAAGCTCTCTCTCCATCCATCTCCTTCAACGGAAAACCGCCGAAGGACTTTGTAGAAGAGGCGTGTGGATGTTTGCCTAGGAGAGTGCATTTCCGAAGCGAGAGGTAAGACAAAACTCTCGAACGAGAGATACATTAGTAGAGAGAGATAGAGAAAGAGTCGAGTGTATATGAAAGCGAGCACGTGTGTGCACACACAGTGAAGCCTTCTCCCCGCGTATCGCTCACTCACGCACGTACACACGGACACGCACATACACGCATACATGCGCTAGCACGACAGTGGACAGTGCAGGTACGTGTCTTCCGTTCGCGTATATGCATATAGTATGTATTATACGATAAAATTGCGAGGGACGCGTTTGTCGCGCGCGCTCTCGAGTCGAGCTTGCGAGGTTATATAACTTTCGGAGCGCGAACGAGAGAAAGGCACAGCAGTGTGTGCAGTAGCAGTAGCATCAGCGGCGGCAGCAGCAGCAGTAGCTTCAGAGCCAGAAGCAGCCGCGAGTATTATATATAATAGTCAGGATATGGTATACGTGAATTTGTCACACGCGCGTATGACAATAATAATAGCGCAAATAAAGGCAGCAACTTTGAAAGAGAAATGTGCCGTGCAGATGTGCAGGTGCGTTGGCCGGGCTCTGTATACGTGCATGTATTGTTTACTACGCCCACTCTCTCGCTCTCTCTGCGAGCACCTATATACATATACACAGAGCAGAGAGAGTCTGGTGTGTGTCGTCTGCTACTGCCACTGCCACTACTGCTTCTCGCCGAGTTTAAGCAGTCGAAACATTCGTTAGGTCATACAAACACACACACACACGCGACTCGTATATATCGCGTCGCGAAGACGGGGAGAGAATTTCTTCGATCGACAAACATTCCCTTTGTCATGTGTACGCTCCGCGGAGTTGCACCTTGAACATCATACTGCGATCGCAAAGGAACGTGTGTTTATATATAATTTATAAGTAAGGTGAGAGTTAACGTACACAACATATCCTGCCGCGCGCTTACGGTCGGCCGTTTAAGTAGCATAATATACGATATTATCGATCAAGAACCGCGCCAAAACTGGCACAATGGGTTAGTCTCTGGGTACATACACACAAACACAGGCCTGGTCTATGTGTGTGTACTACATGCACAGCTGGCGAATCCCTCTCTCTCACTCCCTTTCTCGCGCCTTCGTTGATCGAGCCCGTCGAGAGATGTAATCGTCGATTAAAGCTCTTTTTTTTTCGTCGGCCGTTCGTTCATCGAGCTTTCAAAATTACGATTTACGTTCCATCGTGAATGATCGTTTCTTTTTTTTTTTTTCTTTTGTTTGTTGTTGTCACTTCTTTTTTATTTTTAAACTGGTGCAATTGTTTCCTCGATTCGAAACTACATTTTTTTTCCAAAAAAATGTCGCATACGCCAGAGGGTCCTCTGTGCAGGATCGCAACGCGCATATTTGCACGAAACGTCGTTGACGAGTACGGCACAAACGCCTACCGCAGATATATACGACTCTTGACAGGAGGCAGAGCTGTATATACGATTCCCAACGTGTTCGAGAGTTATTAACATCAAGTTGCGCGCGGTATATATGAAGAGGAACAGGAGGAGGAGGAGGAAAGCTCGAAAGCTCGAAAGCTCGAAACGCATAACGGACATGCTGACATATGCACTACAGACACAGCAAGGATAATTAAGACAGCTCGAGGCAATATATATGGATCCATGCATTATACTTTGCGAGCAAAATCCTTGAACGTATCGCTTCATTATAATATGGGAACGCGGTCGGATGCATACATAGAGTTATGCGTTACGTATACATATAGATACAGACGCGAGAAGATATTATTTCGCTCGCTCGTGTATCACACATACCACATTGCTGTATATACGTACGCGAAATCGATTTTGAAATTGTAATCAGTGCACGAGCGTTGTAATTCGAGCACGATGCGGGGCGCGTTCCAGCAACTATATCGCAGCAGCATCTTCGACGCGTGTGAATCGATTGCGGCACCCAATTTGAGATATATGTACATTATATAGCGAGGACAGAAAAAGCCGTACTAATCTCGGCGAAACTCGTTTAAAATTTTACACGTACAGCGCCGCTGATTTCGGTAGTAGCAGTAGTAGTAGCAGTAGTATCCCCTCAAGGCTGTCCATCGCCCGTCCTGTACACGTCATTGTGCTGCTATGCGCATCGTGACGAAATTTCAGCTCGGAGATTTCCAAACGAGACTACGTACCGCGTAATCCCTCGTCGAATGTGTAACACCGACAGTACTGCTACTCTGATCGAATGATAAGAGTCTAAACTAATATTCCAACTCGGCAGTTGGATTAGTTCGAAGATTTAATTTTCATCAGATCTCGACTATAACGGGCTGTTTGAAATTTACACAAGTCACTAAGCGCGTAAAAAGGCTTTATTTTTTTTTACGCTTTAGTATTTCGAGCGAGATTTGGAATGATCGAAGAAACCGACGATTAAATTCCAAAGTAATATTTATCCGAACCCTCGAGCTTTTTTCCCACTTTTTAATGCGATAAGAAACACGTGTTATATATACGTGCGAAACTGCGCAGAGATGCAATATGCGCTATACAACTCGCGTTCGGGGTTGTTTTTTTCTTTCTTCCTCCCTTACTGTTTTTGGCTCGCGCGCGGGCAATCGCGCGGCGATGCTTGTACACGTCACTATATGTACGTCGAGTTAGCTCTGCCGCCGCCACCGCTGCCGACGCCGCCGCCACTAGAGGATTATCGATTCGTCAGTGCACTGGCATATATACGTCTGTGTGTGTATGTGTGCGAGTGTGTCAGTGTGCAGTTTTCCCAACCGGAGAAAATACGGGTTAAGTATGCGACGAGGCTTATTGCGGATGTTTTTTTTTTACATGTATATACCGCACGATACACACATGATTTTCTTCCGTGTTCCTGAGCCATTACATGAACTTAACAGTGGGCGGAGGCGCGCGCGTTATAACATGCGGTTGACGATTATAGTCAAGCACACACACGATTGGCGATCGTTCGATCGAGTCGATATTCTTGCGATTCGAAACTTTTCGGTAACTTGGGACTGTAGTGTTTTCGGGAACTGTATAGAAAATTGTGTCTACAGGAATCACTTTAGAGTTCTCAAAAGTAATTGTAAGGCCCAAAAAAGCTTTAAAGCACTTTCATTCTTTGTTGAATTTGATATGCGGTAGAAGAAATTTTATGGTAAAATTGCTAGGTTCACAGAGTCAAACTATGGTTTCTCTACAGAAAAATATTTATAATGTTTATTCGACTCTGTACGAGTTTTCCTTGTGTACATAGCGATTTTTACTATTTTCACTGAGATTTCTCTCAACTCAGTACGTGATTATGAAAAGTTGTACAAAACTTCTCTCGAATTTCTCTTTCGTTTTTCTCTCATTTCCTCTCTCTCTCTCTTTCTATGGTACAGTTCGTAAATCAAAATGAGAATTTTCATCGAAGTTTATCTTTGAATCGATCATAACTTACTTATCAAATTGTACATTTATTTCTACTTTTATAACGAAGGAGATGAAAAAAATTGTTTCAACGAGGGCATTGACGAAATCGGACAAATTACCTGTGATATTACTTCGCAACGTTTCAGCAGCAAAAAAAAAAAAAAAAAAACAAGAAGAAGAGAACATAATATATAAGAGCTCAAAATGTACACACGGCTCTGTACATAAAACTGTCCGTTCCAGCAATTTTTTTATATGCGCAAAAACTTTGGTAAATCTAGACTTGCTGCCGGCAGCAATACATTCTCGACGTCGCGTAAATTTATCCAACTGTGCTGCGATACATGGGCGCGCGCCGTTGTTATGTTAGATGTGCTTTTCTTGTATGTATATACGTGCGCTCTCTCGACTCGTGTGATACATGCGCGCGTATGTATGTTTATATGGGTGTTATCGCGCGCGATACAAAATCAAACAAGCCCCCAACATTTCGCATAAGAGTTGAAACGTTCACTAAAACTTTGGCGACGCGCGGGCAATGCGCGCACCAACGCACGTGTGAAATGACACTCGCATTAAATTTGTCACTTGTTCGTGCGCGCGTACATCTGCGATTATTATCTATATCTTGTCGTTCTTCGCGTTCGGACATGTATAGTTACGAAATTTACTTGCAAAAAAACATTTGAAAGTTAATAGAAAGGAAATAAGTATGAATTTCTGAAATGTTTCAAGTTTTTTTTTCGCACTGAAGAGCAGTTCAATGAATTGAACTCACTGCTTGGCGAGACAGTTTCCTATTAAAATTCATGATTTCAAAGTTATGAAAAATTGAATTAGAAAATTCTCGAATTTCATGTTTGATATCGATCTTTTGTCGAAACAATCGCAGTCAAGCTTCATTTCATTTTATTTACGTTTCTTTTTCGTGAGACACAAAGGATCATCATTACACGGCGAGTTAAGTGTAGCGTGCGCGTAACACCCAGAGCTGCTATACATGTATAATGGACGCCCGCACCACCGCAGCGGCAATATACCGCAGTAAAATTTTCAAGCGAAGAGTGCCGCAACAACAGTCCCCGACGCACACATGCCATCGTGGCGCATTTAGCTCGTATATTATAAAAAAAAAAAAAAAACTGACCCGCGAGCTCCATCGTGAACTCGCACACTCGAGAGATATATGTATGTAGGGTGAGGAAAGGGACTCCGTAATTATTAATTAATTAACACCACGCACGCGAGCTCTAGCGTTATATGTGAGTATGGGTGAAAACTGCGTTTATAAAAATTACGATGATTTACGCCAAAAAATAAATTCATACCCTGATAGAAGTGCCCAACATCAATAACAGCTTAAAGACCAAAAATGATTTTTTAAAATTTTTGTAGGTCCATCATCAATTCGATCGTTCTTGGCAATTTTTCTAGTAAAATAATGATACAAATATTCAGAGAACTTTGAATGACCTTATATGACTATTCAATTGTTTCAATAAATTTAGACCAGTATTCAATCTCTCTAAATACGATAATACCATTTTCAACCTCTACCGCTAGATGGCGAGTACCTTCATTTGTAAATCTGCAAGTGGCAAAAT